GCAGATACAGTGCTGAAGGGAGCAGCAGGCAAGACAGAAGAGGTCTGCTATGCCATGTGGGTCAGCTCTGCAGCTAGGTATTGAACTCATGCCACAGTGGCTGGCAATAGCTTGATAGCATTGAGACTTTAACCCCTGAGCCAAGAAGGAGGCCCTAGTCTCATCATGGAATAGCTGAGCAAGGAGTGGCTAGTACGTTGGAAGCCTGGTAAGGACTGTGTGGCAGAGGGAATTGTGTCAAGTCACATATCAAAGAATGTTGTGCAGAAAACTGTTCCTCAGCTTCCCTTACTGACCCAAGTATAAGAGATTTCTCCTTAGAAAGTCAACTTTGCATAACGAGGACTTAAGATTGTTAAATGTGGAGCATCTTAACTGCAGTGTTACCACATTTGGGTCGGTCTTTTCTCATGCGGCCACTCTGTGATTTGTAGGGTATTTAACAGCACTGTCCCTGGCCGCTTTCCACCACATGTTAGAATCACAATTAAAAAAAAGTCTTAACATTGTCAAATGCCTTAACTTCCCCTCTGGGGGAGGGGAGAGTCCCCTTTCTGAAAACACCAAAGTACAGATTTGGAAATAGGTGAAATTCATTTACCCAAAGATTTCAACAGAAAAGTTGTCTAACTTTTCTGGGCTTTTTCCATACACAGGTAAGGTTCATAGACTGCTCCAGGAGGGTGGTCCTAGTTCTCAGTCACTCCAGTGGAGGTAGTAAAGCCAGCTTTGAAATCCTAATTTAAAACTACTGATTTTAATGGTCTATAACATAGGTGTCAGGTGTGTGACATTCCACTTTTTCAAATAAGCTTATATCAGAATTCAATAAAGCTTCTGCAGATTTACTGTGAAGGTCTGCATATTTCAAGGCTTCTCTTCCAGTGCTGTTTGAGAGAATTTTGTTATTTTGTGACCTGTCTCTTAGGTTATTTACTTACTGTTCTTAAGCCATTTTTTAATGAGGTCCCCAATTTGGGGTGCTCATGGTCAGGGAGGGAGCTGTCATTTGCAAGCCTATGTCACGAATATTAGAAATGGGTGCTCCTGCTGAGCATAACTGAATAGGTAGCTTGGTGGCAAAAAGCTTTGCTTTTGTTTTGAAGTTCATGATAAACACAAAAAAAATCCTACTGGCATTATTTGACTTAAGACCAGTAAAATCATTGTATTTTTTATTGTATGCAGGTGAAGGGGCCCTCCCTGGTGACACAATGGTTAAAACGCAGCATTTCGAAGCTAGCCACAGAAGCTAGCCACAGGCACTTCAGCACAAATTCAGTCCCCAGCCAGGGAGGTGACCCACAAGGTGTAGCATGCCTCTCCTGTCTCCCTGCTGCTCCCCTCAGCCTATTCTGCCCCCTACTCTGTCTCTGATGAATCCTCTCACCGCCCCTACACCTCTGGGCTAGACCCCACTTCTGTATGCATAAATAAATCTTAAAAAAAAAAAAATGAAGATTCAAAGCCTACTCAGAAGACCATGGAGAAAAGAATTGAGAACTTAACTGAATAGAAGACCACTGGAAGTTTCCTGACAGTTTTATGACTTTTGATTAGAAAGTCAGAAATAACAATTTCCATTTTAAGCTTTAAAGTTCAACTCAGAGTGCTGGGGGGAAGTGAATCTTTCTTTGGAAATATGGCAACGCCACGGCTCTTTATTTAAAAAACATTTGATCTATTGCTTCAAGGCCCAACCTTCCCCACCGCTTTCACCAGTGACAAGACATTTTCTCACTGGGCCCATGAACAGGACGGTAGGTGGTGCCTCCTTGACCTTGCAGACTATGAAAGTTGTAGCCAGCGGGTGGCAGCAGAGAGCTGTGCGGCGCCCTTTCTGGCACGGAGCTGGGGTTGGGGTGGCTGCGGGCTGTGACAGGAGTTAACACCAGTTGGAGCCAATGAAACAGTCAAGCTGGAGGCCGAAATCTAGGGAAGCAAAGAGCTATCACTGTGCGAGTTCGTTGGGAAATAGACGGCGACAGGGCTCAGGATGTTAGAACAAACTGGAAGGGTGAGCCCAAGTCGGTTCCAGTCATTCCTCAAAATGAAGGACGAATAGCCAGAGGCTAGAAAGGACAGTTGCCTGGCCAACAAGAGCGTGAAGCTGGCTTTTACATCACCTGTGTCAAATCTTTCCTTTGAGCCCTTGAATCAGCCAGACCAAAACTTTTCAGGCATTCTTCAGAAGGAAAGCAGGATCCTGAAAGCAGACTTTGTTGATAACTGAGATCATTGGGAATGAGATGGGCAATAAACAGTAAAATGAAATCTCCAGAAAAAGTGGAAACTATGTCAATAAAGCTAGCACCGTGGTCTTGAATGTGGTTTTGATGCAAAATAGTTACTTAAAAGATGTTAAAACTCATGACCTACAATGAAAGATTCAAGAAATTACCTTTTCTATGTAACCATGGAAGATGAAGAAAATGAGTTCCCTTATCCAGCCCAGCAATTCTGGAAAAGGACTAATAAAACAAGTGAAACTTGTTAACAATAAAGAGGGAGCCAGATTTTAGATAAGATGAGACTGATTTTAGGTAAGATTCTACATACGATGATGAAGAAGAGATTTATCATCGTATGTAGAATCAGGCTGAATTTATAAAGAATTTCATCTGGGAGGTAAACTTGAGAAATATGGAGGGAAGTTGTCACTAAATGGTCTCTGATTTTTCAGCAAAAACAAAAAGTACAGAAGGCTAAGGACTGCACGACTACCTTATGCCCTCCCACTGCCAGCATGGATGCTGGGCTGAGGAGCATGGGTGCAGGGCTTGAGTACCTATGGCGTTGGATACCTGGGCCCAAAGAGAGCATATGCAAATGCTTGTGATGGAGGAAAGAATACAAAAGCCAAAGGAGGCTTCACAAAACCCGCTCCCACTAGGAGCTGGGGTGGAAGGGTGAGCATAGCTATTGACCCAGCTATAGAAACTAAGATCCTTAGGCACCAAAACCTAGACTACAAAGCACAAGATCCAAGCAGGTCACAGACTGCCTTAGGGACTAAGAGCACAGACCCAAGGGAGATTGAGCCCATTATGGAACCTCCTGTCCCTTTCAGATTCTACATAGCTTGTTCAAAAGCAACAACAAACCCAGGCTCACAAGGAGTGAGAAAAGAAGTCTCTGTCAGTGCCATCTCTGCACTGGCACGGGGCAGCAGTCCTCTGCCCACCTGTGCCTCTGCAGGTGCTTCTTTCCATCCACTCTGTTCCTCTGCAAGACTGCAGCCTCCTGCCTGCCCGTGACCCACTCCATGCCAGGACTTTTCACTGACCTCTCTCAGCAGAGGCCATGACCATGCAGGCCTCTCTCAGCAAATCTGTCCCTTTCAGGCAGTTCTGCCTGCCTGCTTGTGTCTATGCAAGTGTCTTATACTCTTCTGCCCCTTTCTCTAATAAACCTGCTCTTTAAATGTAACTAACGCCTCTGTCTCATGGAGAAACTCGTTTGGGAAACTCACCACGTACCACTGAAAGGGGAGCTCTGGGGAAAGCTTTCCCAGTGAACCCACGAACCCCCACACTCCAAATCCACAAACTAAAAAAAAAAAAAAAACTCATCACTTACACACCTGTACATAGAAGGCAGGTAAGGGAGATGCTGCAGGGTCACACAGCAGGAGGATCAGGAGGGCCACTCTGAGGCAGGCGCACAGCAAGCCACCAGACTCCACGAGACTGAGAACCCCAGAGAGGGGCTAGAGAGAGAAGGAGGGTGGCAATTCTTGGGGGGACTCTGCAGGGGCTGGGAAGTTTAGTTGGCTGCCTGCCTGCTTCCCAGCACCCCTGCCCAGCCCCCTGCCTGCATACCTGTGTGCCTGGTCCCCTAAATCTTATAGGCCTGTAAAATCTACCCAGGGCTTCAGGACTTCCCATCTGCTGAAATGACAGTGAACCTGCCCCTTGCACGCTTGCGCCACAAGGACCCAGGGGTAGCAGGAAGATTTAGAAGAAATCCATGAATAAGAGGGCTGGGCTGACATTCTGAAGCCCCCACAAAGTTCAAGTTCAGAACATTTCAGCACTGTGACTGTAACAGAACCCAACAAGTGTCAACAGAGAGAAACTTGGAAGTGAATGACAGATTTGGAAAATAAGCTTCAGGCTTCTAATCTTATCTTCACTTTACCACACCTTTTAGGGATTAAGATCCCTAAATTTAGGGATTTAAATGATTCTTTCAACTGTTACCAAGAAAGTGTCTGTGTATTATAATTTTAGTTGGTCTTTTCCCTCACTGATTAACATAAATGTTAACACCTGGGATTAAAATCAGGTTGAATATTTGATCTTCTCCAGTTTGGACTTTTACTTCTAGTAAAAGATATTTTTAAATATATATATATTAATATTTTTAATTTCTGCATACAAAACAGGTCTAGGCCAGAGGTATAGGGGGTGAGAGGATTCACCAGAGACAGAGTGGGGAGCAAAGCAAGTGGACCGACTGAAATACACTTCTGAGGGAAGAAGCTGGTGGAATAGGAGAGGTCTCCTGCACCATGTGGGTCACCTCTGGGGCTGGGATCGAACTCATACTGAAGTGGCTGTGGCCAGCTTGCAGTGCTGCGTCCTAACCCTTTGTGCCACCAGGGAGGGTCAGGCTTTCTTTTTAATCTGCTTCTTTTGGGCATGGCTGTCACATTTGAAATCTTGAAGAGATAATGCAGACTTATCCGGGACTAAGTTGTTTCTTCCGTTTTTGTATCCAAACACTTTTTTGCATATGCCAGAAAGCCAGAGCAATAAACAAACACCACGTGACACTCTTAGCCAACCACCCCTAACTACACACTCCCCACAGAGTAACTAGACAAAAAGAGAAGGGGGAAAGAATGTGTTTGGCAGGCTCTGTACCCACAGTCCATGGCGTGTTTTCAAAGGACTCACTGTATAAAAACAGTTTTAAAAGAGGAAATCAGTGGTCGAAGAATCCTTGCTGGTTTCTTTAGCTGTTCTCCTGGACCAAAGAGATCAGTGACTCAAAGGTGCTTCTAAGTTCCTCACTTATTTAATTGACAGTAAGTCAAATCTGTTCTTACTCTACACTTTGAATGACGGAATTAGGCCTACAGTATATGCTCATGACAAGCATCTTGATTCACACCCTTAAAACTATATTGTTTGTCTATTGTACATCATTTTATGTTTATATTGTAGACGTAGTGAATGAGTGAATTTTAAAAACTCATTTATATAGCATTTTAGTGTAGTGGTAAAACAAGACAAAGAAGTGTCAATAAATGGGAATATATTTCACATTTTTATGAAAACAACTGACACTTCTCTGGAGAGCCTTTTGAGGATGTTTGAGGTTTTACGGCTTAGGAATGTGTAGACCTTAGGACAAGAGCCATTCCCTGTGCTTTCTTTTTTCTTTTAAAATGTCTTTGTGGTTGTTTGCTTGGTTACAGCCTTCCACTGAAGAAGGTGTTTAAGCTTAGAAACGTCCTCAAATTTGGATTCAGAGATTATTTTGGTATTTGGTAGCCTCCCCTTTTATTTTGATGGCTCTGAAGGTATCCATGAAATTAGCATTGTCCTCAGAAAAGTTTCACAGCCTTGTATTTGCTTGGAAAGATGATGAGCTTTGAAGTGCATGGCTACTTTATGAGTAACTTTTTCTCATGTCAGCATCTTGCTGAGAGATTTAAATAAATATTCAGGTTAAAAGTTAAAAGAATGTAGAGTGTAATACTGTTAGGCAAGTGAGAATATTTAAAAAGTAGGTCACCATTGGACTTTAAAGGTTTTCAAAACTTTCATTAATGACAGATTTTTTTTAACCACCTGTTGGGGGATTACTTCTGCAGACTGTATCCTGTCTGTTATGTGTGTTATGGACTTAGCACGTATGTTTGACAGCACAGAATCTGTAGGTGGGCTGTAACTTGTCTTTTCGTTTTTAAAAAATATTTATTTAGTTGTGCATACAAGAACTGGGGTACAGGCCAGAGGTACAGGGGGTGAGAGGATTCACCAGAGACAGAGTGGGGAGCAGAACAGGTAGGTTGAAATACACTGCTGAGGGGAGCAGCGCCATGTGTGTTACTCCCTGGCCATGGATAGAACTCAGGCTGAAGTGGCTACAGATAGCTTGATAATGTTGAGACTTTAACCCTTGAGTCCCCAGAGCCTGGACTGTAACTTTTCCTCTCATCTTTGACTCAGATTCTTTGCCTGCAGCTTACGTCCACTAGCATACTATCGTCATGTGATAGAAATCAGCTTCTAATCTTAGCAGGGAAAAAACTAACTCCATCAAATTCTCAAGTATTTCTATTATTTCAATATTTTTTCTTTTTAATTTTTAAATTATTTTAATCACAAAAGTAAATGTGCCCTAAAAAAAAGCTAAGTAATACAAACTTGTAGGAAGCAAAAAAAAAAGAGAGAGAGAGAGATTTTCTTTCATCCTAGCCCCACTTCCTTCCCTCTCTACTTCCCATTTACATTTGTATCTTTTAAGGGTAATAGGTACACACAATGTGCTTACATGTATATTTACAGGTGTATATAGACATATAAATTTAGTTTTTGCTCTGCTAAAATGAGATCAAGCTTAAAAATACTGCAAATTTTTTTAACACAGTCTATCATTCATATCTTTTCATGCCTTTATATTAAATTTAAAACAACAGAAAGGACTTTCAGTCCTTAGAGGGATCTATTTAAGGATAGCATTTAATACAAAGAAGCTTGTGGCAAACAGAAACTATTGCAATTGATTAGGTTTCCAGTGGGAATGTTTATGTGATTACTTATATTTTTCATGTGTGGCAAGAAGACAATCTTTGAAGAAGAACTGATCATGTGATCAAGAAACCATGGACACATACTTCCAAAACTCATGCTGAAATGGTGGGAGATGTATTCAGTGACTCTCTCTCTTATCAGCTAATGTTTCATCGGGGATATAGAATCCCAGTGACAGATGAACACTGAATACACTGGCCACTATGAGAACTGATTCACCTTTTTTGCTTCTTTATCAAATCCCCATTTGTGAATGACTGATAGAAAAATTAATAAAATTAAGTAAAGGAGTAATACTCTTTTTACTCCCTCGCTGAATAACCAGTCTTTACTCTAGTAAGGCACCTATTATTGGCAGTTATTTAATATTCCACCTCCCAGTACTGTAGAGCACCCTAAAAATGCCCTGGCTGGGGCAATATAGACTCTGGCGTGCATTTCTAAATTTTACTTTATTGCCAAAGTCAAGGTTTTAAGCCTCTCGAAGCCATAGTATAATGGTGGGCATGCTTTTATTCTTCCTGAAATAACACTGTTGGGATGAGGATAATGAAATTATCTGTTGCTTGACAAGATCCTGGCAAAAAAGGCCTTGTGGTTTTTCAAACTGCAATTACTGCTACAATTATAAAATTAAGTGCCTATCTCCAAAGTTCTTTTTTAAAACTGCATTTCCCCTTTTCTCTCAGTCTCTAACTCAAGCTTCCACTACTCTAGACTCTGAGGAAAGGATACTATGTCTCTCATCCTGAAAAAATAAAAAATAAAAGCTCAGAGGAGAACACCCCTCAACTTCCCAACACAAACCCCATAATGTTCATCTTCTTTTCTTCAGCCACAAGCCTACTGTCTTTCCTCATTTTGTAGTTGGGTCCCATCCCTTCCAACATTGCCAGGGAAGTTGCACATTGCATTTTCCTGCTTGTCTCCTTTCCTTCTTTTTACCTCCAACTAGAGTCTTATCTTTGGTATTTATTTATTTATTTTTATTTATGGATGCATACAAAAGCTGGGGTGCAGGCCAGAGGTGTGGAGGATGAGGGGTGAGGTGATTTACCAGAGACAGAGTAGGTAGCAGAAGAGGCAGACTGGCTGAAATCCACTGCTGAGGGGGTGAAACAGGAGAAGTCTGCTATGCCATGTGTATCAGCTACCTGGCTGGGGATTCAGCTTCTGCTACAGTGGCTGCCCATAGCTTCATAGTGCTGAAAGTTAACCTCTTGCACCACCAGGGAGGCCCTTATCTTTGGTATTTAAAATTATTAGTTTCTTTACTTAACATCAACACTTTTCCTCATCCATTTTCCTTCTCATAGGTTAAGCTTCTTGAAAAGATTGTCCTCACTAGGCTGATTATGAGCTCTAGTCACACCACACCACCCAAATGGCCACTGCTAAGGTCAGTGACAACTCCTCTATCAATATTGTTCATGCCTTGTCTTACCTGTTCTTTCAGTGAAATACTGTAACCGCATTCACCTAATTTCTCTTCACTGTTTTAGCTTTTCTTTCTCAGACTTTTTTGTTCTCCTAGTTCTGTATGTTGTTCCACCAGATTCCATTCTAGCCTTCCGCCTCTCTCTTATATACTCTCTCTAGATGACATCGTTCCTTTCCATAAATCTGATTACAATTAATATACAGACAACTCCAAGAATTCTACTTCAACTTGTAGGCAAGCAGATTTTTCCTGTAAACAGCAAGGTAGCAACTGTTTTAAGCTTGGAGAACAAACTATTTCTATTGCAACTCTGCGAGTAATTTATTTCTCCAGTATCATCTACAGTCTGTTCATCTCTCCAACATCCATCCATCTTATTTTGCCACAGGGATTCCTTTTCTGTGTCTCTAATGTCTTATTCTCCTCCTCCTTTCTTTTTGAGCGGCTGTGTTCTCTGCCCAGAATTTTCTTCTCCAATCTCATCTCTCCCCACAGAATCTTTGTTTAGAGAAGAACGCAGTCTTCAACTATTGGTATAAATACCACTTCTTCAAAGAAGCCTTCCCTGTTTTTGCGCTCATGGAACTCTCTACTTCTACTTTAAGGCAGTTGCTCAACTATAATTAAGCAATTGATTGTGCAACAAGTTGTTTATTGCCTCTCCTTCTTCAGCTCCACCACAAAATCTAAGGCTCCAGGAGAATAGAGAGTATTTCTGCATGGGTCCCTGCTGTCTCTCCCTCACTGTCACTGAATGTTGTCATGATAGACACCTAGCAATTTCTCCAAAGACTCTTATATTAATACCAATCCATGCCAAAAGTCTTCAAGAGTATTCTGATGTTAGTTATGTTAAGTGATGGAAATAGGTATATACTGAGAATAAGCAGATACAAAAGATGTATTTTTTCCCAGTAGTTAACATAGTAATTTGTTAATACTACAGTCTAGGTCAGAACATACTATTCAGAACATACCATTCTGTGGTGGAAGAACTGATGTCAATTACTGGAATAAATATGAGGACATTTCCTCCATCTCTAAGAGGATTTATAAATGAACAGCTTGCACAGTTTGTTTCTGTATACTCAGCATCATTAAATATTACAAAGGAATAAAAAAAATGAAGAAACAGATGACAGGGATGGGTCTCTGAACACTAGCATTCTGATAAGTTGCCACTTTCCCCATCTCTCACACATTAATTAGAGAACCTTGCTGGGTTACAAAAGAAATTAAATGCATTCATGAGTATTCTTACATATATTCAATTTAATCAGCTTACCTGTATTAGATTTTAAGATGCTGGCAGTAGAAAATAAGTAAGGGTTGTATTTATGCTTTCCTGAATTGAAGAGAAAAAAAAAATACTGTATCAGTTAGCGATTGCCAGAAAAATGCTGCGTAAAAACAAACCACAAACCAGTGGCTTCACTCATGTATTCCTTCTCATCTGTCTGAAGCATGGTTGGCATTTGGTGATCCAGTATGGGGGAAGCTGGGCTTGCTACAGGTTGCATGTAGGCCTGTTTGGTGTTTACATTCTCCTTGGGTCAGCAAGCTACCTGCACACGCTCTTCTCACAATCACACAAAAGCAAGTGAGCAAGTCTTAGTGCACAAACACATTGCCTCATGTCATACCTGATCACATCTCATTGGTTCAAACAAACCATGTGGACAAAACCAAAGTCAAGGGCAGAGAAGTCTGTCTTGCCTACCATGAAGCCAGAGCAAGTCAACTCCAAGTCTGAGGTCAAGGATATGGAGAGTCATACTCTTCATGGACTTGAGGGAGGGAGATGGGAGTAAAGAGTTAGAATAGGGCCCTCCCTGGTGGCGCAGCGGGTTAAAGCACAGCACTAAGAAGCTTAAGCCACTTCAGTATGAGTTCAGTCCCCACCCTGGAGGTGACCCACATGGCGTGGCTGACCTCTCCTGCCTTCCTAATGCTCCCCTTAGCAGTGTACTTTGTCAGTCGACCTGTTTTGCTCCCCACTCTGTCTCTGGTGAATCCTCTCACTATCCCTGTACCACTGGCCTGTACCCAGTTCTGTATGCATAAATAAATAAATCTCTAAAAAAAAATTCAAACAGTGAATTACTTTGCCACATGTTATTGAAACTGATTCACGTGGTCAGTCAATGAAGATATTTGTTAGATAGGTGGAACTAAGGGTTAAATGAGACAATGTGTTCAAACCAGCTAGCACAGATAGGTGTTATAAGGCACGTAATGAAATGAATCACAATTGTTTTCTCAAGTGTTTTGCCAAATATTTGTAATCACACGGCATTTTTGAACTAACGCCTTATTTCTACCATAGGCTCTCTTGGGGACTACTCTTTATTACGTCCATCTTTGTGACTCTGATCAGTGTTTGTCCAAATCATACTAATAACAGCTTCACAGTGCTATTCACTCTTCATCCCAGATGGTCTGTCTTGGATGAGTTTTGGCTAAACATTGATGCCTTAGTCTTTCAGGCCTTGGGTACACAAGCAAATTGTTTGTTCACAGGATTGAGATGGCATAATGGCTACCTTTGTGTTCCGTTTTCAGTTTTGAGAAAGTTTTTGACTTTCTCAAAAAAAATGTGAGAAACTGATGAATATTATTATTCATGATTCTCAAAAGGGAAAAATTGCCCCAATTGGAAGTCTTCCCTCAGATAGCACTGGCTTTCCTCCTGGGCGTGTTGATAGACAGGCTCTTTGTTATCAGTTTGGTTGGCTTTCTCTTCTCTATATTTTGGGGATGTCTGGGGTTCACTGTGTTGTTCACACAACTTCTTCCATCTTTGGTAGGTTTTAGGTCTTTTTAGTCCACTTGCCTTCCCTGCTGGAATTGTACAGGTAAGGCCAAAATAATATCATGATTTTATTTATTAGATTTTTCAAATTATAAAAGAATGTTGTGTTTCAGGAACCTTGTTGATTAATCAGCCTAAATCTTAAGAAATTCTCCTGTTGCAAAGCTCAATAAACAAATATTTTTCTTATCAAAGTAAAACGCAGACAGGTAGATCATTTGTAATATCTAGTTTCTGTTTAATTAAAAAGGGAGTGAAATGTGGAGGTTATAAGTAATGAGTAGGGCCAGATGGCATGAATGGGTGACTGCAGTCAAGCAGTTTAACTTCTGTCACCTCACTTTCTTCATCCGCAGAATGGGGATGTCAGTGGAGCTTACTCATGGAGGTGACTGTGAGGACGATTATACTAGAACAGTGCCTGATACATGCCATAGGAATGTTAGCAGTTATCTTTACCATCTATTTTGTATTGTTTTAAAAATATTCTTATTTGTTCAGCACTTCCTTAATGTTTTAACATTTCTGTAGCATCATTTATTTTACTCAATACTTCCTTGGCAAGAGAACTTTAAAGGAGAGATCAAAAGTGATATCAAAATGCTTTTTAGATTTTGACAAACCATCCAAAGAAAGAAGATTCCAGTCACTTGTATTCACTGACGAAATAAACCTAAAGTCACCATTTTTGTTGTCTATTTTATCAAGTGCTTCATCTGATTAATTTCTTCCCATTCAAAAATAAGCTTGAAGATATTATATTAACCACATCTATTTTATATCTATTTCTAGTATGTAGAGAGACCACTCCTAATTTTATTGGAGTATGAAGATTCTTAAGCAATATATATGATAGCATATTTATCTTTTTTTTAAAGATTTATTTATTTATGCATACAGAACTGGGGTACAGATCAGAGGTGCAGGGGCAGTGAGAGGCTTCAACCCAGCTCTGTCAGCATAAATAAATAAATCTTTTTTAAAAAGATGAATAAGTAGATGAACTTATAAAATATCTCTTGCATGCTCAAAAAATATTGCTGCTTCATACCCACATTTATCTCCTCAGTAGAAGAAAGATTGACGCAAAAACTGGATGTGGATCTGACACCCAGGGTTCTGTGTAGGTGGTTTTGCACCGCTGTACGCCATCACCAAGGCGACAGGAAGATGACATCCTCAAGTATTGGGCGTTCTGTCCTCAGCCCTCACTGTGGCCCACTCTCACAGTGAAAGGATACCTGGAGCTGTGAGGCAGCTGTGAAATGACGGAGCAAAGAAGACGCTGCTCTTAGCGCTTCACGGTAAAGCCAGAAGCCTCCCCCACACTCTGTAGCTGAAGGGAAGGGAGGAATTTGGGTTTCTTCATTAAACATCGAGAGGAGGCCATAAGCAATTCTTTAAATTCTTTAAATTTTCATGCAGGTAAAATTGAAACTTTTAATAAGAACCCAATCCTAAAATTTAGAATTTAGCATCATATTAATGGTTCTTAAATATTTCAGATTGGTTGTGCTAGAGTGCTCTATATTCTTGTTTTAGGTAGGGGTATGTGACTTGTTTATATTCCTGTGGATTTTTTTTTGGGGATGGGGGTCAGATGGCAGAAACTCTGAAGCTCCAGGAACAACTTAAAGGTCCTGTGCAGACAGTGCCTGAGGAATAAAGAGAAAGGCAAGGGTGGGCAGCAGTTACTCCCCACACCCACAGATAGGTTCCAGACACTGTTCCTCTCATTCCAGTGGGGCTTTGCTATACACATCCTGGGAAACCAATCAGTGGAGCTTCTAGACAAGGCATCCATGAGGACGGACACGGAGGGGCAGCAGAAAATGTGGTGAAGAAAGTTGTATTCATGTCAGAGTCAATAGTGAGTGCAGATTTAGTTTTTTAAAATATGTTCCATTAACTTTTATTAACTGTTATTTAATTAATGAACCTGGATATTGTGTTCAAAATTCCTCAAATAGACATTTTAAAAATATAAAAACCTCATAAATATACTTAATTGGATTCTCTTTCTCTTACTCATCCTCCTCTTACTCCTTCTATTTTTTCAGTTACTGCAAATCCTACAAAGTGATGTTTCTCTACACTCCCATTTTTGTTTCCATAAAACTATTAACTATTTCCCAATCTTGTTTCCTTTCTATGAAGAGAGTTAATGTGGTAACATAATTGCACAATGCAGTACAATTTTTATTTTTTCTAGTACAAAGTTTATTTGTCTTATAGCCTACTATAAAATGAGGTGGGTGCCTGTCCAGAGTTGGTTTTTGACCCCCTACGTCTGGGAGGAAGAGTTTTACCTTCACTGTGAACAACTCATGCTTGTGATCAAACAGCTTTCTCTACGTTTGCAGTTGAGAAAGAAACTAAGAGATAAGTTGTCCTAATTAGTTGCCAAGAGAGTTGATGACAATCAATCATATAGGCCATTAATGGGCAAAAATCAACACTAGGCAGTTGAGGAGAGTTAGATTACAGAGGGACTGGACCTCAATAAAAGTAATCAGCAACGTTTTCTAAAGAAAAACACAATCCATTCTAGAAATGGAAGTTCTTAAAATAATATTTAGAATCCTGTATCAGTCACATTTGGGAGTGTCCGCTGAGCTTCTAAACAATTTCCTCTTTTCTGGAGATGCCTTTTGGCAGGCCTTAGGGTGGGCCTCTTCCAGCTGCACCTACATCATGTGACTCCAATCTGGGGTCCAGATTGAAACCAGAACAGAGCCAAACCCAAGCAGGGACCACCGAACCCTCTATCAGAGCTGAGAAGTTTGCTGGAAGATGATATAATCCTGACATGTCATCAGTCTCTCTAGCCACCAATGGCTCTCTGTATATCTATTTCAAAAAGCAAATAAAATTGTAGAAATGTGTGAGAAAAAAACAGGCATACAGAGAAGGAACTGATGGCTACATGACCATAGCAGCTGAAATTCCAGAAAACTTGCTGTTATCATCAACACACAAACTCCTAATTCTTGTTTACTCAAAATGTTTCTCTACTTAGAAAATGAATCTTGATCACATATTTTGTTTTACTTTAATAAAGCTTTGATAGGGTCTTAAATAGCCAGGCCTCCCCAAGTTCACCACTTGTCTGAACACAGGGAGCCAACTCTCTACCGTGGAAGCATAAGGTAGGAGCTGATGGATCCCACCATGCTGGCAAGAAAACAGAGCCATCTCCATCTCCACTTCGGAGAGCTCAGCTTTTCTGACCTCAACCAACAGCCACTCCCTTGTGTATACCATCAGTGCTTTACCCTCTCACCCTTCAAATCATGGTGTGTGTGTGTGTGTGTGTGTGTGTGTGAAAAGATTCATGCCTATACAGTAAATCCTCATTTAATACCATCGATAGGTTGTAGGAAACGCTTACGTTAAATGAAATGGCATGTATCAAAACCAATTTTACCATAGGCTAATTGATAGAAGCAAGGATTAAGTTATGGCAGATTTCTGCTCATAAAACGATCATCAGACTTCTAAAGACACATAACACTTCTAATCTGAAACAGTCATTTGCATTCATTTATTTCCCAAGCCTCTGAGGGTCTCTGTTCAGCATCACAGGGAGTAGAGTCTCTTGCTGCAGCTCAGGACACAGGTAGGAGCCCAACCTGTGGAGGGTGCCCCCTTGTGGCAGGACACACTCACACCCATACACACTCACCTTGACTGGCACAATTGTGACATGTTAGTGAACCTCACCTGCACACCTTTTAGGATGTACAAAGAAATGAGAGCACCCAAAACCAGAACCCCCACTCAGATATGGGAGGACAAGCAAAGTCTACACCAGCTCATCAGTGTTATAAAAAAAATGCCATTGAACAAAATGATGTTATTTGAGGAATTGCTGTCTGTGTAGATCTATGTATGTGGCCACTTTTACTTATTATCTCCATCTTTATGGGTGAAAAAACTGGGGGAGGGGTAAAAGCTGAATCAGCTGTGCAAGGTCACGTAACTAATATGAGCCAGAGTCAAAATTTAGACCCAAATTTGGCTCCCTCGTATATGTACAAACTGCCCTGATGTTACTCTTAGACACTTACCGTGCAGGGACATTGAATTGATATCCCTCTCCTGTGTCCAGGACCTGCCTTGTACTACTTGAATTGAGTTTTTCACTTATAATGAAGGTCATTGCAGAGAGGTCAAGGCATACATACCTGTACGCACCCTTCGGTTAATAAGTGGCTTTTCTAGTTTATATGTCTAGCATTCATCAGTCCTATGAAGCTTCTGGACTCAGGCAAAGATATGAAACCCAGGGTCAGAATCTTTCAAGGTCATTTTGAGGTCACAAGGGTATGATAGCATCTCTTTAACACCTGGGAAGTAACTTTCTTATTCCTTGTTTTTTGTCCATGGTGCCTGAGTTTATCTTTTTCTTCTTCCCTTATATCTGGACTTCTTTTGGGGGTTACCCATTATTTCAAATATGCTTCTAGCTGGAGATCAAGCACTTCCTTATAGGTCACTGAATCCTCAGATGTAAATAAAGAAAATGGTTCCCAAAATAAAAATAAATCAGAGTAAAGAAGTGCACAGGCATAGCCAAGAGACAAGGGAAAGAAGTGAAACCAGAGAAATACATCCAGGATGGCTAATTATTGATACTATCATTGTGAATGTTAATATAATTCTAAGAAAAGCGAAGTGAAAATGATTCCTGAAATAGAATATTTTGGGTGTAAAACAACAGCAAAGTTACTGAATTCCTGAACTGTATTTTCAGTGACTTAAAAGAGACTGAGACATTTTGTTGACTTGAGATTGACAAAGTTTTTAGATGTTTTTGACTTTCCCCATCCTGAGACATTTAGATTATTTTATATCTTTGTTTTGCCAATTTTTGTGTAAAAGTTGTCATTGCACTTTGACTTTTTTTTTTTTTATCAATAGAACTCAGTACAAGGAAAGAAATTGACATACATACTGTGAAGGCTTTGAATGCTTCCCGGAGTATCTCTAGCTTTATGATTATTAACATCTGTGGATTGGGAGCCATGTCAAATATTTGAGATTTCCCAATTCATGGACTTTGGTTTCCTGTTTTGCCATTTACTTTGGCAAGTAAAGAAAAATTTGCAATTCTTTACAGGGAGAACTAAACTATGTGTGGAATTGAGTCTATTTCAGCTTTTTCCCTGGCCCTTCATGCACAACAATTGAAAAGAATCCTTACATGTTTTGTTTCTATTTTTTTTTTCATGCTTGGCAATCCATTTACTTTTATTTTGTTTTTAGGCTTTATGAAGCCCCACATCTACAATGGTACCGCAGGAGAAAGAAATTTGCTCGTAATTCTTCATTTGTCCAACATAGATGTTTCTCTGTATTATACTAGGGATTGTCTGAATTTATTAGGTTAAAAAAAAAATCAGCACATTTTGCTCTTTTAGTGTAATTAACCGAATGGATCGTTGGTGATTATGTTTAGGGGAATAGTGAAAAAATATGAGAAAGCTACAGCTTTCTCCCCTTGGCTTAGTCAGGTACTGTTTTCACTCATTTATCGCTCTTTCCCCTTCTGGGCTCATCACATTTGATGGGCTAGTTCCATTTTCTTTGTTTACCATTTTCTCCCTCAGCCCAGAAGTTGAAAGGCCAAGTGCACAAACACAGGGTTTGTTTTATTTCCAACCAACCACAGAACAGTCATATCCCTCTAGAATAATTGGCTTAGTGAAGAAAAGACAGGGGAAAAAAAAAAATCCAACGAGTTCATCATGTACAGCCTAGGCTGACTACACCCCTTTTCAGAAGCCAGTAAGATTTGTTGGAAGCAGGCAGCCATCAAAGGAAGAAGTATCAAGCGAAAAATGTAATTGTTGCCTAAGACAAAAAGAGAACTGTTCTGCCAGTGTTTCCAGAGAGCTTTTTCTCATTTTCCTGACAGTAAGTAAAGTTCAGTGTTGTTGTGCTTGTCAAACATGTGGGTGGACACTGTAAAATCAATCTCTTTTTCAGATGTTTCCAAATACTTCTGTGTTGTCTACTGAAGACCTTCTGACAAAACATTTTTCTGTTTTTTCTCAACCAACTTGGAATGTTTTCCCAATAATAGTTAATATGGGATAACAGTAAAAATTATCTCTGCACTAGCTAAGGAAAAATTGTTTGAATTCCTTTATATGTAAATCTAAAATAATTTAATTTTAAAGTTACATACACTGGAAAAAACTTTCTCTGTTGGTTTATGTGCACAGTGCAAATTACTTTGTCATGTGACTTTTCCCTTCCCTCTGCTTCTCTCTTCTCCACTATATAATTTGTTTCCTCAGTTATGCAGGGATTTTTGAATTCATAAATGTGAGATAAATTATTTTATTCTTCTATATCTCAGAATCAGTTTCAAGTAGGTTGAGTCTGGACTGTTATTTCAGGGCCACTTTTGATAAGATTTGTTCAATACAATCTAGAAGGTAAACACTATAAGAAGAGATTTCATTAGCATTACAGCTGATGAATATAATCGATTATTTAGATGTATCTAATTAGTCAGAATTTTGATGTTAACTTGATAACTGGAATTTCTATTGAAATTCTAAGAAATTACTGGTCAGATGAAATATACTTCAATCACTCTATCGAGTTAAACTTTTATAATGAATAACAAAAACTTTTTGTTTTGAATAACAATCATTTAACCTTGAATGGCTGAAAATGTGAAGGACCTTATAATTTCTCAAATCCAGTTTTATCTTTTCTATTGTAAAATATGTTATAATGAAATGTTATAAAATCACTCTATCTCCATGCCATTTTTCAAGGAGCTTACATTGAGCATATCTTGTATAAGGTTTCCCAATCATGGATTACAGTTTAAATAGTTCTTGCAGTTCATAAAAATAGGGACTATTTATTTTAAAAAAAAAAGATTAAGGATGTTTCCTTCTCTACCACTGAGATTTTACTCATTTATTTTTCTTTGTGTTCCACCATATTTCCTTTTTGTTTGTTTGTTTAATGAACAGACGGAATGCATGTGAAACAGAAAAGTGTGTATAGACAAACTCAAGCACTTCTATGGAAGAATTTTCTGAAGAAATGGAGGATGAAAAGAGAAAGCTCACTGGTATGTGTGAAGTTTTTCCCCTTATCACAGTTAGCACTGTTCTTTTTCACTGCTTAGTGATGATTTTAGTCTATGTTTTTAAGTTGTGGGCTGAATGATTTTGTGGTTGTCTCAAGTTGTACATGTTGAATTCAGAGACTTACAGCAGTCTCTGAAAAATAAGATAGAATAAGGAAGACGAAAAATATTACTTATATTAAAATTAAAAAAGAAGAAGTGAAAATTTAATTTTGTCCAAATTACAGCAACGATTAAAGCCACTACCCCATGAACTACTCTTAGAGTCAAGAACTATAGAAATAGTGCCTGGTAGAAATCACAGTATTTTAATTTGGGGAACACTGCTGGTTGCCAGTTTGCATTGGACAGGTGGGCTATCTACAGCCCCAAATCTCAGTGACTTATACACAGCAAACGTTTGTTTCTTCATCCTTTCCACAGTATAAGATTGACAGGGGAAGTGAAGTGGGTTGGGCAGGTGAGGGGATATGCTCCATGCAGACATTCAGGGACCCAGGTTTCTTCATCTAGGAACTCGGTCATCCCTCAACCTTGGGGACCTCCACCAGATTCTCCGGTAAGATTAGGAAGGAGGGAGACTGGGACAGAGAGAACAGAAAAGTTTCCATCAGCTGTGCCTGGCATTTCTGTCCATACTCATAGCCAGAACTCAATGACTTATGCCCCTACCTTTCCAGAATGTAGCAAATGCCTCAGGCTGCACCTTGCCTCAGGTTCCCTTTACCCTGAATAGAGAGTGTAGAGATGCCAAGTGTATGGCAAAATTGGAACTTGCCTTCAACAGTACTTTGATGTTACTAGAGTTCTTCTATGAATACAATCTAAATTTATCCTTTTTTCTGTGTTACAGGAATGGGGGTTTCCAATACTTTTAGCACTATATATAGGCCTATTTTCATATTTCAGAGAAAATGAAATTTTTCCTGAAAAACCTTCTCAGAATCTGGGAAGAGTAGATAAATTTAATGGGTCTTTTGTAATTATGTATACACCAATCTCTAACATAACCCAGCAGATCATGAATATCACAGCACTTGCTCCCTTTTTGAAAGGTAAGAACACTAATGACAAAAAATAAGTATAGATGTTAATTTATGTCATTTTGATAAAATGTATATATGTTTAATGTGAAGTGACAGGGGTCCATTATGCTAATTATTTAGTTATTAAGATAGCATGTAATTTTGGTTAATTTTTCCTTTCTTTCCCAAAAATTTGACTTTTAAACTCTTTCAGCTTGATGTGAGTCCAAAACATGGAGACCTACATTTCTATTGGAAATTAATTTATGAAACAATAGAATTACAGTTTCAGACTTGTAGTAAAGAGTCTAGGAAGATGATATTATTGGTGGGTGGGTGGGGTTTTTTGTTTGTTGTTTGTTTGTTTTTAAAGATTTATTTATTTATGCACACAGAACTGGGGTACAGGCCAGAGGTGCAGGGGTGGTGAGAGGCTTCACCAGAGACAGAGTGGGGAGCAGAACAGGCAGATGGATGAAGTACACTGCTGAGGGGAGCAGCGGGCGGGTCAGGAGAGGTCTGCCACGCCATGTGGTCACCTCAAGGGCAGGCGGGGATTGAACTCATGCTGAAGTGGCTCTAGCTTCTTAGTGCTGTGCTTTAACCCTGTGCGCCACCAGGGAGGGTCTGGGTGGGTGTGTTTTTAATGTGGAAATGCAATGATTGAGATTTATGGCCCAGTTAAAAAAATGTCTAAATAAAAGAAATTAAGTCACAGTTATTGAACGATAATTTCAGACCTATGAAAAGTAAGGGCAGATAGTCTCAAAATACTCTGTTCTCTATAGGATATAAATTATAACATCTTTAGTGCTCTGTATTCTGAATGTGGCCAAAAATGGCCTCAGTGTAACTGAGATAACAAACGTGTATGTTACTCGATTGTCAAAATGCATAGTGTCTGACCTTCTACTCTGTAATCCTGGATCTTTGACAGGCACAATTAGTGGAAACAGAATATTTCAAGAATATAGAAAATAGAGAATATCTGTCAGAAATGGAGTTACCTTGTGATGTTGGTTTCCACATGAGACAAAGATTCTGAGTTGCCTAAACCTGAGATTTTATTTGGAGTTTTCTGACTGTAGTAACTACTTCTGTAATGTCTATTTTTGTATTGAGCCTGGCATCATATTTTTATGTACCTAAAACTTGCCCTAATACCTATCATGATTGAAATAAATCACTTAATTCTCATATACATCTCTTGACTCTAGAATGAAAAACTTTAAAATAAAATTGCCTGTCTTGCCTTTTGGGATAAGTCTAACTGAAGTGGAAATGATTTTGGTTTAATTCCCATGAAAAGTGTGGCAATACAGCCAGATGTGATGTTCTGCTATGGTGAGGCTCTAACCACCTCTCATGTGTGTTTTCACCTTGTGATTTACAGGAAGAAGAATCATTGGAATGACAAATCAAAAAGATGTGGATAAAATACTTCAAGACAATTTCCCAGATGTAGTGGAAATCACTTTTAATGATAATTTCTCTTATAATTTAAAATTTTTCCAGGGGTATTACCTTCCATTTTTGAAGGAAAATCTTTTCACAGGTGACTTTCCATGTGAAATGTCATGGTACTTTTCTTGTTCTTCTCAAAATAAAGATAGTGTTGGAATGGGCAACAGAGATGCTATTAATGGCAAGTGAGAAAGTAGTAAAGCACATTTTATTGTGCAACTGACTTCAAGGTCAATCATATCTTCTCATTAAAGTATGACTCAGAAATTCTCAAATCATCCAATAGGTATACCATAAACTTGTAGGTGGATGTGAAGGATGATCAAAGTGGGGAGAGATCCCAGCCTCAGATGAGATTCCAGTTTAGCAATTGATAAGTGCAAGCACCTGGGGGGTTCCCAGTGAGCTGTGAGAAGATGTGTTCAACCTGGGCAACTTACATTTTAAACAACATCAGAAGGACTGGAAGTCCTATGTTTCATATCAAAAGGCAGGTATGGTTTTCCTTTAGGATGAGTAGGGCACCTGCTATTATTTTGGAAGAAGAGCAGTGTAACTGGATCAGAGACCACAAACAAGGGGCAAGAGAACCAGGCTGACATTACACAAAGACTATATCCTGTGTGTCTTGTAAACATGGGGCAGGGGAGATCCATGGAAGTACTTCCATCAGGGTAGAAAAATGACTTGATTTTCAAGCCCAAGGGAGCACTCTGGTCATAGCCCGAGAACAGGCAGCAAAGGGCTCAGGGACAATGCAAGAAAGGCAGCTTAGACCAGAGTGAGGCTGAGAAGGAGTGTGGTGGGTGATGCTGAAGTCTTTTAGAAAGTATTGATATGGCTCATTGACCACTTGGGTTGGTTCTTTTCTTCTCAGTCACTGAGGGTCTACACTGTGTCTCCCATGATTCTTGACCCTGGAAATTAAAGATAACCTAAAGCAGAGCCCATGTGATTACATCTTTCTACTCAGGAACATGGGATGGAGCAAAACAATGTGGCAGGTGGTAATAAAGTAAGAAAAGCAGAGTTAGAAGACAAAAACTGAAAGAGCTATTTTAGATACTACACTCTATTTCTTTCTATCTAACTACCTAAAGTGGCCAGAAAATATCTCTCCGCTGAGTTTGTTTTAAGGGAACAGACTAGGAAGGAGGAAAGGTGGAAAGGTATGAGCCATGGACACACATGCATAGTTTGAGCACTGGAGTGCTTTTGGCCTTTTGAGGCACAGCAAGGTGTCCAGCATGGTTGGATCAGAGTGTTGACTTTTCATCTTTTTATTTACTAAGACTTTCTCTGCTTACAGAGTGTCCATGGGTACATTGCTCTTTTTTTCCAAAGTTGTGACTGGTAGAGTCTCCTCTAGATTTGTTTTGTCTTTGATTTTTGTTTCTTATTCTCTAATTGCTTTATCCCATAATTTTGGTTATGATTTTGTTTGTCTATAGCACATTGTTGGGATACAGATGAAGACTACTCTTGTACACTGGCCAAATATTGGAATTATGGATTCGTGGCTTTGCAAACTGCAATTAATGCTGCTATTATACAAGTAAGAAGAGTTCTAATACTTAATTGAAACTAATTCCAGAGGCATCAAGATTTTGATGAAAGATAATATATATCATATATGTTACACACTATTTATACACACACACTCAGGCTTTCATATATTTCTACAATGAAGCAGTTATAGAACTGTTGAAATTATATTTAGGCAAAGGAACATTGTTCTTTTTCTTTACATTTTTTAGTTGTTATAATGTGACAGGAAATTGTAAAAATAATTTACAAGGCAAGGCCTCACCAGTTTCTCTTAAGACATAACCATAGGACACTACTAGGACTGGGATGTTGACACAATTGGTGCAGTCACCACAATTTATTAATATTGTAAAATGTTCTACAGTTTAAATAATGATTTTGCTTATTTAAACCCTAAAACCCTTATTTAGGTCATGACAAATCACTCTGTGATGGAGAAGTTGATGTCAGTTAATGCAATAAACATGAAGATACTATCTTTTATTTCTAAAGAGTTTCTTCCAAACGAGATATTTATATTCTACTGTTTGCTTTACTTCTCTTCACTTACATACTTTGTGTCACTCAATGTGACAAAAGAAAGAAAAAAGAATAAGGACATGATGAACATGATGGGTCTACAAGATTCTGCATTCTGGTGAGTGTCAGATTCAAGTAATGCAAATGAATAAAAGGAGAAATTAAGAGGCAGTGACAAAGAACTTTTGCTTTGGCAATCATGATTTAAAGTTGGTCCATCAGCTACTTTTTTTTTGTTCTGACTTGATGATTTCATCTTCATTAAATTTTGCCTAACAAAAGAGTGAGCATAACCTGCTGAGCACTTTTTCTGTGCCACAAGTTGGTTACACCAGACTGTGACTGTGAGAATGGTAGCATTAAGATTCTAGAGCGCAAAGAGTTGGACAATGTCAAATGCATGATGAGGCTGTGAGCTGGAACTCCCAGCCAGAGACCAACCCCAAATGTGACTCTCCTGTGCCCATGGTTATTTGATTTCTGGAGATTTCCTCACATAGGGAAAAGTAAAATGCTAGAATGGGTAGCAGGTATTGAGGGGTAAATAGTGTATGCCAGCATTAACTGAGATAACCTACAGAATGCATCCACACAACTGAATAAGAGCGTTTGCTTCAGATACTGACATATTGATAGCTCATCAGTGATTTAGAGAGGCATATATACAATCTATCTATCTGCTATCTGTCTGTCTGTCTATCTATACATACATTCTGTATTTGTGTTACAGTAAAATCATTGCAGAGCAGAAACAAAGACCTACTACTATAATACAGAAGTAAATTTAGCAGATTAAAAAAAAATGCTAATTATACAAACCTTAAGGATCCAAGAGATCAAGGCTGAGAATTCTACAATATGATCAGTTATAAGCTCCCTACTATCTAGAAAAAATAAATGTTTTATTCCCCTCCAACCAAGCATTTTTTGATATCAAAATCTGGGAGATATTTTTGTGCGTATGCTTTCATATCAAGAAAATATTGATGTGAATCTGTGAAATAGAAACTATTTATAGAACAACTCAGCAAGCCACATGGTCCTGAAATAAAATTATGTTTAGGGAATTTTCAATTTTCTATGAAGTATATTTATTAACAAAGAGAGTTTCTAATTCTAAATATATGAATCATGTAGCAGAAAAAGAAGAAACAGTGACTTGAAATAAAAAAGAATGGAGGAGAATATTTTTGCAGTGGAAATTTTGGATATGCCAAAGAGTGGGTGGAATGTGTTAGAGAGGAGATCTATGTAAAAAGGAACTTTTTAGAGTCCAGGGCATGCCACCAGAGAATAAATAACTAGGCATATATCAACTCTAGATTAAAATCACAAAGCTGGATGGTTAGATATGGATTTATTCTCAGGGTAAATGCTTCCTAGAAAGCATTTAACTAAAACTTAGCAAAATGAATTTTTTTACATTTCCTTAAAACTTACAAAGAAAAAGTTTCTGAAACATTTTAAATATAGGCTGTTTATTGGAACACATTTTATGGTAAGCTTTCTATGTACTAATTAATAAATGTAACCACTAAAGTGTGATGCATTTTTTTATATGAAGGTTTTCCTAAGTTAGTGAACATCACCCCTTCCCTCTCAACTCATGGCAGTGAAGTTCCTTTTTCTTTGGTAATGTTTTAATTTCCTCCATTTGTAATTCGCCTACTATGGTTTTTTTCAGTTCCTACCTATAGTAGTTCCCCTCTGCATTCAGGAAGTGGCTTCTGCAGTATGTTTTTTAAAATGCTGATGTTTCTAACAGTCTGAATTATCATAATGACATGAAATGTAGTAAGAAGGCAAATAAGCAGGAAAAATGTTCTACTAGGACATGTTTATGCAAGAGCCTAGGTTAAATACTCTTGTAATTTTCTTCAATTGAATTGTTATTTAATCAGGCATCTTTATGTAAGGGAGAGAGCTCTGGACTAAATGAAAGTCTGCCACTTCCTCTTAGCTGTGTAATTGATTTACTTTGTGATTTTTAACACACCTATTAACTAATAATAGGATTATTAATAGTTACTCATCTGTAAAATGAGGAACTTGCCCTGAAAATACCCTATAGGCTTGTTAGATCTGAGATTGCATTCTATTTCTTTATACCTACCTCATACCTCCTAAAATTGTGAATGTGAACCAGGGAAACAGAACAAGGTGAACACTTTATTTATATCATAATTATTTCACTTTAAGTTAACATCATTTAAATTTAATATTATGTTAAATATATTAGTTAGTATAATAACATTTTACATATGATTGAATGTAATCTAAGTTGTATATTTGCATGTAATCAATTTAAATGTATTATTATTAGTTAAAATGATTTTTATAATAGTTTATACCCATTTAAATGAAGAAATCACATATAGAAATAGCAAGAATGGGGTGGATTTAGTGTAGTTATAAAATTCTACTTTTTACTAATCTGGAGAATGGAAGTGAGTTATCCCTAAAAATGGTCAAATTATCATCTGTACCCAATTTTCCAAGGTTGCTTAATCACCAGATGTTAAGTTTCCTTCCAGTTCTTAAGTTAGAATACTTTGATAGCATATAATGCTGAAAAAACAAAAACCTTACCCCCTTTAAGTTAACAGTAGCACCTTAAGGAAAATTTTGTGCATTTGCCAAGAGAGACAAATCCAAGAATATTCTAAGCAATAATGCGCTCAAAATAAAAATTGGGAACAACCTAAATGTCCATGCATAGAAGGGTATATATGCAAAAATGAAATAGTACACAGATGTATAAAATATTTTATATGTTGATTGAGAAAGAAGTTGCAGAAGACTACATATAAAATGATACTACTTATGCAGTTTCCACAGTAGTTATACAATATGTGAATACAGCACTGACCCTCATTAGCACAACCTTGCCAATATACTACTCGTAATATTTTAGTTATTCGGATAGGTGGCAAATGCAAGGGCTGTCATTGTATTTTTTGTTTAGATATTTGTGTTTCTAATATTTAAAAATAAAGTTAAATTAATTGAATTTTTGGTCTTTGTTTAGGCTCTCCTGGGGTTTAATCTATGCTGGCTTCATCTTAATTATTTCCATAATCATTACAGTTATCATCGTATCTACCGAAATTATAACCACAATAAGTTTCATGGCCATATTCACCCTCTTTTTCTCATATGGTTTATCTTTGGTAAGTTTACAAATTTATTACCACTTCCTCTGCTTTAGGTCATAGTTATTAAACTGTGTGTGCATGTGAGTATGTGTAAATCTTTATGGGTGTAAGACAATGATGTGCTCTAAATAAAATTGGACCACTGCATTGCATAAAGGTCCGAGTTAAAGAAATGATGCATTAAAAAGAAAAAATATATTTTCACTAAGAATATCAAGAACTTTCCTAGATAATTAATGAAGATGTGCTTGGTCCTCTTTTCCCTCAAGAGTCTCTCACATTGCATAGTCGATTTTCCCAGTATTTCTTTTCCTCTTAATTCCACTGTTTGCTGGCTTCCCATGTCATTTCTTGTTTTTCTGAAAAGGGTCCCTAATTTCTTTCACAGTCTAGGTTGTTTTCTGGAGAAGTAAATGCTCTTTTTAGTACATTAATTTAGTTTTTCTTCAGTCTTTCTAAATTTGCATTTCCTGTCCTTTCTTCAGTTCATTTATTGTCCAGTTTTCTTAATGTGTTCTCAGCCGTGCAAAGCCAACATTAGAGCACAGCTTGTAAGGACCCTCTTTATAAAGGCACTGAGAGAAAGACTGAGCATAATTCCATCTTAATATTTTCATCATTGTCTCACTGATAAATATTTGTTATGATATAAAGATTCATATTTGATTGTGCTACCCATGATTCCCAGTGAACCAAATATAAATAATGACTTCTTTTTCTTTTAGTTGACATTGTCATTCCTGATGAGTGTGTTGCTAAAGAAAACCGTCCTGACCAGTTTGGTTGTGTTTCTCCTCACACTCTTTTGGGGGGGTGTGGGGTTCACTGCATATTATAGACAACTTCCTTCATCTTTGGAATGGATTTTGAGTATGTGTAGCCCCTTTGCCTTCACTGCTGGAATGACGAAGGTAAGAGCATAGTTCACATAATTCATTGGTTTTATTATTTAAGCCTTCAAACAATTTCATCCTTCATCACTTCTTCATCACTTTTTTTAAATTAAGAGCTTTTATTCTAAACAATTCTACTCAAAAGCTAAACTTGAAAATGTTATTGATACACTCAAAAGAAATTAGCATCTCAAATCTTGAATAAGATAGATTTTTCACATTGAAGATACATTTTCTTGCTGAAGTGCTTTTGTCTCTTTTTTATATGAAAATATTTAGCTTTTCTCTTCACATAATGAAAACATTTTGTTTATTAAAAATTGTTATGCAAATCTCTTTTGTGACCTCAAATATTTATATTTAAGATGTAAATATAGAGCTTAACAAATACAAAATAGACCAAAGTAATCATGACTATATCAAAGAAAATAACTGTCACAACCACAAATATTCCTAAAGGTAGAAATTTTGTAATTACTTCTTTGCTTTGTATTATCACATAAGAATGTGTTCCTAAGTATAATTGTTAGTTTAGCCTGTTTTCAGCTTTATGGATGTGATATTGTACAAAATCTATGATTGAAAATCTGACTTTTTCTCTCAGCTTGATGTTTTTAGATTTCATCTATAGATTATATGAAGCTATTATATACTGTTATGTGGAATTCTGTTGTGCTATGCTATCAATTTCCTTATTGATGGGCAAATCTTTTACAGTCTTTTGCTATTATTAATAACTGCAAAAAATCTTAATGAATATGAACATTGTCAGAGTACAAAGGAGATCATCCCATATCTCTGCAAGTAACTGTAAGCTGCCAAATAATCACATAAGCATCAAACACATGGACTAGAAAAAAGAAAATCAAAAAGAAATTTAATAATAACATTTAAATCTTCTGTATAGATAGGAGAGAGACAGTACATTGGAGGAATTCACCACGTGGCTTCACCTGCTTTCAAACAGCTTTACCAAAACAAGGGAGGTTGGGAAAGAAGAAAGAGTTCACCAAGGAAGGCACAGTAAACAAAGGCATACAAATTAAAGCTTTGCCTTAGCCACTGAAAGGACATGAAGAGATTAGGGTTTCCCAATACCATGAGAGGGACATCATTATAAAGAATTTCACTTGTCAGTGTCTTTCTCAAAAGCAACATCCATCCAGCCTGCGAGGCTTCCCATCAATTAAAGTTTTTAACAAGGATATATTTGGGGGTGGTAGATTTTTCTCCCTTATAGTATCTAGGAGGTGAATAATGGTACCTAAACTATGTGCATCTAAATCTTTGTAGGGCTACTAAATACTTTTCTAAAGTGGTTGTATGAACTTTTGCACCAGGAGGGTTTTAGAGCTCCAGTTGCTCCAAATTTTCAATATTTGCTACTATCAATCTTTCAAATTCTAGCCACTCTTGCGGATATATAATGATTTATCATTGTGATATTATTTTCCTGCTTATTGGTGAAGTTGAATATTCTGTGTCCTGTTTAGTGACTTTTTGGGTTTTTCTTTTTTAATAATTGCCTCTCTCATTTTTACTGATTTTAATTTTTTCTTGTTTTGTAGGACTTCCTTATATATGCTGCATATAAGACAATTTTCACATGTTACTAACACATCTACTCTCATGATAGTGCTTTTAACGAACAGAGGTTCTTAATTTTAATGTAGAATGCCTTTCTATCTCTATGAAATCAAGGCATACACTGAGATTATTAAGATATTCTCTTGTGTTTATGCTGGGATCTTAATTGACTATCTTCATATTTGTATATAAAATCCATTTCAAAATAACTTTTGTGTGTTTATAGGTAGAGGTATTATTCATTTGTTCACATGATATCCAATTGTGTCTGTTCCATCATTGAAAAAAACCATCCTCCCCTTGAATGTATAATAATGTCAACTCAATGAAGAATGTATTACCCCATCTGTCTGTCTACATGCTGTTGCCACATTGTCTTAATTGTTTTGTTTTCTAATAGGTCTTGATATCTTACAACTTTCACAACTTTATATTCTTTTTTCAAAAATTTTTTTCCTTTCCAGGTTATTTGCAATGATGTAAATTTTAAAACACACTCACTAAGTTATACACACAGATTTGCATGAATCTGTTGAGTGTTTGATGCTGTTGAATTTTCAATCAAGTTTGGTTTTTTTTTGGTTATGAAGATTACATATGTTCCATTCATTTTCCCTTAGTGTTTTAGTTTTCAGCATAGTCTTGCATAGTTTTGGTTGATTTATTCCAAAGTTTTTATACTTTTGATACCATTGTATATATTATAGCGTCTGTGTTTAATTCATATTTCTAAATGCTTGTTGTTAATGTAGAAAGATGTAAATGATTCTTGCACATTGACATTTTATTCTTATTATATATTATAAAATCAAGTCCTTCAAAATAACTTGTATGTATTTATAGGCATAAGTATTATTCATTTTTCACATGATATCCAGCTGTGTCAGCACCATTATTGAAAAAAACATCCCTCCCTTGAATGTATTATATGTATTACATAAACATTTTCTAGTTTTATCTTTGAGTTCCTTATGTATAATCACGTTGCCTACAAATAGTGATGCTTTAATTTTTCTTCTTGCAATCTTTATGCCATTTATTTATGTTCATGCCTTATTGCACAGAGCAAGACTTCTGGCACAAATTGAATAGAAATGCAAAAAAAGTAAAAGCTTTCAGCATTTCACAGTTGAGTATGAGTCCTTGTGTTGGTCTTCACACCCTTAACTCATCAGATTAAGAAAAATCTTTTATCTTAGTTTATGAAGACTTTATAATCACTGGTTATTAACTTTCATCAAATTTTTTTCTGCCTATATTTTTCTCCTTCAATGTATTTTATGCTGAGCTACTCTGACTGACCTTCAGATGTTGTTGTAGGCTTACACTCCTAGAATAAACTCAATTTTGAAATGCTGACATTTTAACATATAGAAGTTATAGAGTATCTACGGTGAGGAAATGGATTTCAAATCTGGACTTCCTGGATTCTGATTTCAATTTTGTCACTCCTTACTATGTGATTTTTTTTTAACCTCATCTAGTTAAGCTACTTAACATCTCTATGCTTCAGTGTCATCATATGTGAAATACAGATAAAATAATTAGGCCTACAATTATGGTGAATATTAACTGGGGGAAATATAAAAAGCACTTAGCACAGTACCTAGGACATGACCGCTATTGTCATATGACAAAATTATAAATATAAATCTTTACTTGCAGTAATATTTATGAAAATAGGTAACTTTTCCTATCAGTATCTTAAAATGCTTAAAAGAATTGTTCTTTCTAAAATTTGTACTTCTTTATTGTGTAGAATAATTATAATATTACAAAGACTTACAAGAACAAGCACATAAATTGTAACTTAAAATCACATTTTTAGAACATTGCATTTTTTAATCAATATTTCCTCCTTAAATTCCTTTGATACCTAAAAACAGAAATTGTTTCACTAATCACTTCATTATAACAGCTTCTTGAAAAGTTAATTTTTAAAGTGATTCTCCTGACTGCTATGCTGTGTTACTTTTATTTACTTTATTTAACTATTAATTGTTATTTTTTTGTTTGAATCTTAGATTATCTACCTGGATTATAAAATGAATGACATAGGTTTTTCTGACTCTTCAGAAGACTCATATATGATGATAGCAATTCTTGCCATATTGACTTTTGATGCTCTTATCTACTTGGCATTGGCTTTATATTTTGACAAAATCTTACCTTGTAAGTAATAGTGGGTTTTTGTCATAACTCTACAGATATCGCTCACTTGCAAGCTCTTTCTTTCTTTCTTTTTTTAAAGATTTACTTATTTATGCATACAGAGCTGGGGTACAGGCCAGAGGTGAAGGGGAAGTGAGAGGATTCAACAGAGACAGAGTGGGGAGCAGAACAGGCCAAATGACGAAGTACACAGCTGAGGGTCACAGCGGGCAGGTCAGGAGAGGTCTGCCGCGCCACGCGGGTCACCTCCAGGGTGGGGATTGAGCTCATGCTGAAGTGGCTTTAGCTTCTTAGTGCTGCGCTTTAACCTGCTGTGCCACCAGGTAGGACCCGCAAGTTCTTTCTTAAGGTTATATAAATATATTTTAAGAAATGAAGAATAACAAGTATTTCCCATCATAAGCTAAATGAGTTCATTTTACCTTTGTAGTCTTAATAGTCTCAAGAAATTTTTTATGTAAAAATACATTCTTCTGACTTTAATATAGTAATACATATGATAGTTAAATAGTTATATATACAACAATGACAATTATAATCTGAATTATAAATAGATGTCTCTTTTTATGAAGTACTCTAAAGCATTTTCAAAGAATATTATTTAGGATTTGTGTCAGAATAGTTAGAAGTAAATTAATTCTTAAGGTGTTTTGGGCCAGTATATGGCCGTCATATGTTAGAAATATTTCCTAGGGCCCTCGCTGATGGAGCAATGGGTTAAGGTTCAACAATGAAGCTAGTGGCAGCTACTTCAGCACAAGTTCAATCTCCAGCCAGGGAGGTGACCCACATAGCACGACACACCTCTCCTGACCCACTCGCTGCTCTCCTCAGCAGTGTACTTCGTCGATCTGCCTGTTCTGTTCCCCACTCTGTCTCTGATGAATCCTCTCCTCTGGCCTGTACCCCAGTTCTGTAAGCATAAATAAGTAAATTTTTTTAAAAAGAAATACTTCCTAATAAATCTTTGTTCTTGTAAGAATGGGGAAGATTGCAAAGTAAGCACAGTCAGAAAAGACCTCAGATGCAGTACAGGGAGTGTCTTCCTCTCTGCCCTCTGTTTCTGGATGGAACACTTGAGATGTCCATCCTTCAAGGAAATAGCAAGAGGAAAATAAGAGGAAACTTGTAGCATTGTTCTGAAATTGCTTTTCATATGTTGATATATTTGCAGCATTATCTTGCAAACAATGAAAGACTTTGCATAAGTCCAGAATTCCTTCGCACCTGGAATCAGAATGCTTTTTTTTCTGTGCGGAATCTTCTTACTTATTTTTCATTGTCCCTTCCCTTTGGATTGGATTGAAGTTTGTCTTAATATGCACCTATGTACTTATGTATATTTCTGTCTGTCATTTTTGATTAGTACAGGATGACCCATAATAACAAATACTGCTCACTGTTTTAAACTCTGGAAAATGATCACCCATTCATCTTGAATAATTATAAATTTTTCTTTCCCTTTTGATTCACAGAACATGTAGATTTTAGTATTATGTTCACTCATCTGTTGTGGTCAAGTATGTTCTTAAATTCACAACGATGTCTCCAATTATTTCAACATGGCAGTTAAAACTTTTTCTTCAAGTGCTCAGCTTCATTCATTCTGTCTTTTTTTTTTTTTTCATTCTGTCTTTTATATCACATTTTATTTAAACTTATTTATATTTTGTCCACAGTTCTATTACACTGTGTTACTTTGGGAATGATATCTTATTTCCACTGGATTTTCATTGTTTACTGCATCTCTAGGTCATCTTCTCAATAAGAGGAAGTTAGAAGGGAAAGAATTTTCTCTACAGTGATTTAAAATCCCAAGACAGTCTGTACTCTTCTGAACGAGGCTGCTCTGCTTATGTGCTGATGTTGTTGTGATATTTTATTGCCTCTTGATTAATTAGATGGAAATGACCGCCGTTACTCTCCACTATTTTTCCTGAACTCATCATTTTGTTTCCGGCGCCAGAGGATTGGTAATAAGATCCTCAAGAAGGAGCAAGATCTTGAACATCCTCCTAATGATTATTTTGAACCAGTATCTCCAGAATTCCAAGGAAAAGAAGCCATCAGGTGATCTCTCATACTAATATAAGGGTGCAAGGCTCATCCATTATTAGCCAATAACAAGCTGAGCCTACAGCCAGCCACTGAAGAACAATGTGCTTTTGTGGCTGTCGCTTGGAGCCCCAAGCCTATGTGTGTTTTAGCTGCTACTTGAAAAGAATTTCTCTTTGCTTAGTTCCAGATAATGTTACCACATCACCTTGCACCTTGTCATTCCCTTTGGTCTTATCTCTTGCCCCCCACATCTCTATGTAGAGATGCTCTTTTCTTTCTTTCAATCCTTTCTTCCTTCACTTTATCTGTTTTACATAGAGTGATGGAAGAATTAAGTAGTTTAGGATCAGAAATTCTCAAGTTTGTAACCCACATGCTCCTCTCACTGGATGTATAAGCTTTTCTCTGTCTCAGTGTCCTCTAGGATGCATTAAATTTTCAGAGATGCGTTTAATTTTCACAAAATGCTTGTGAGGCACTTTTATTATTCCCATTTTACCAATGAGAAAAGCAAAGTACTAAAAGGTTAAGTCTGTTGCCTAATGTCAGAGATAAATGAGGAACTGGACTAGAATTGCAGCTGGCTCCTGAGTGTATGCTCTAAACATCCTGCTACTATAGAGATGCCAGGAAGCAAAGGGGGGGCAAATAAAACAGAACTAAAGCTGGAAAGTGAAATGTTTCCCTCTCTGACAGATATAGGATGAACTTAAGCTCCCAGTTTTTATCCTTCTCATTCTGAGGGGCAACAGCCTTTCTCCACCAGCTCCATAAAAATAGTTATTGAAAAGGCAAAGGGTAAATGAACAGTGAAATCATCAGTGGCTAAAGAGTGCAGTTCAATGAGCTGACTTGCCCAAGAAGAACACCAAAGACTAGAGGAAGTGAGAATAATTAAAGAATACCCTATTTTCTTAGCAAAATCATAATAATTTAATTGTAACTTTCTAGACATTTATTTTCCATCTTTCTAAGTAGATTGGCATTAACAACTTTTATCTCAAAGGAAGGCACTGATGACACCTATTTCTCTAGCTAGCATTGTTCCTGACCTATTGTTACTCTCAATACTTTTGTCACTTGTGTGTTGGCTAAGGAAGTACCCTCTTTGTCGTTTCAGAATCAGAAATGTTAAAAAAGAATACAAAATAAGGTCTGGAAAAGTCGAAGTATTGAAAGGTAGAGAAAAACATTTGACTGTTTTAATTGACTTCTTGATAAAAAGTGGGGGCAAATCAAGGAAAAGTTTGAAACTATGGAAAAACAAAAGAGAAAAAGAAAAAAGATATAATCTAATTCCATCTTCTGGAATTTGACCTGTTTAGTACCTGGACAGGAAATCCTTCCAAATGGTTCATTATACATTTATAAAAATGATTCATGCAAGTGAAAAGTGTGATCTCTTTGTTTTTTTAACATGAATTCATGATAAAAAATATTTTTTTTGCACTCTGAGGAACATCTAGACTTAAAATTGATAAATTATATTTTATACTAGCAGGGAATTTGCATGGTTTACATGTTCTGTGAGATTAAGACAGGATGGCGGCATTTTTGATCATGGATTTTATTTCACAAGTCAAAGCCCTATGACAGTTTGCAATTTTAGTGAACTACCTTATCTACACTACATATTCTCAAAAATATAGTTTTTTTTATAACAAATTGTTCAAACAAGCATCAAAATCGTTGGTCATGTTTCATAGAGAACAGTGTTTTTTAATTAGTAATGATTTTTAGGAGGAAGATGAATATTTTTTAAAGATTTATTTATTTATGCATTCAAGAACTAGGGTACAAACCAGTGGTGGGGGGCGGTAGAGATACACCAGAGACAGAATGGGGAGCAAAACAGGCAGGTTCTCTGAAATATACTCTGAAAGGAGCAGTGGGGAGACAGCAGAAGTCTACTGTGCCATATGGGTCAGCTCCCTGGCCAGGGATCGAACTTGTGCTGCAGTGACAGCAGATAGCTTCATAGTGCTGCATTTTAACCCTTGTGCCACGAGGGAGGGCCCAGAGGAAGGTGAATTTAAGAGACTGAGAATTTAAAAATTAACAAAGAAAAACCATGGACACCCCTCTCCAAAAAAAAAAAATGCTTGATAGCTCTCTGTGTATGTGCAGAAATTGTACTTGTTTTCTGATAAATGCAGCATTCAACTCACTCTTCCTTGTGCCTTTGAGATTCACTCTATATTTCACCCATTTAACAAACTTATCAGTATGCATGTGTATGTTCTCTCTCCAGATTTTACTCATCACATACAAGTAGATTTGGCTTCTTAAATTTTAACCACAGATAGATTGAAATCTTTGTAGATTTATCATTTCAGTTCCCAACACACCTTCTGAACTACTTCTACACCTACCAGTGACTGAGCTTCTTCTTATGTTGAAACATCTTAAACTTCTGCAGTGATTTCTTCTATTTTTCAATAGTAGCAGAGTCGTAAAAAGATCAAAAGCAACGAGTAACAATACATTAAAAATAAACAAAAGTAACAGAGTAAATTGTAGTTATCCTGGAGGATGGGGGGTTCTGGGAAGAGGGGGGGCCCCAGACTCAGTTTCGGAATCTGCCGGCACACTGCACAGGCGGCACACTGCACAGGAGGGGCAGACCCACCATGTGTCTAACAATCTGTTTTCTTTAAACTGAAACTCATGCTTTGAACCAAGCTCGTTTTCTGACCTGGTGTCACAGTTTCAGCCTTCCTCCACATGCAGTTACTGCCCTTAAAACATTGGCCACCTCAGCGTGTTTATTTAAAATCCCTTATCTAGCCTTCCTGGTGATGCTGGGGTTGAGTCTCAGGGCTATCACAGCTAAAGTCTGAGCTCGATCCCCGCCCCTCCCATGTGGGAGCTGACCCACATGGCGCAGTAGACCCCCCTCAGCAGTGGGTCTCACTTGGTCTGTTCTGCTCCCAACTGTCTCTGGTGAATCATCTCACTGCCCCTGCACCTCTAACCTGTACCCTAGTTCTGTATGCATAAATAAATAATAATTTTAGTTAAATTAATGAGTAAAATTCCTTAGCCACAGCCTATGTTTTGATAGCCAAGTAGCTTTCCCAGGAATGGAAGTCATGACTTAATTAATTCACAAACTTGTATATGAAATTCAGCTAACTGTAATCAACATTCTTGTTTAACTCTTTATAAAGATCATATAAAGTTCTAAAAGCAGGCACTATGATTTTAAGATCCCTTTTTTAAAAAGATTTATTTTTTATGCATACAAAAAACAAGGGTGAAGGTCAGAGAGGCGGGAGATTTTTAAGCCTTTTATCTTGCTCTAGCCAACTTTTCACCTGGAAGTTAGCTAAGTGAATCTTCTATTGACATGTAAATGCAAAAAGCCAAAAAAAATGGGGTTGGAGAAATATAAATTATAATATAATTTATATATAAATTATATTATAATATATTTTTCTCCAACCCCATTATATATTTTTAAAATTAATGCCATAGAAAATGCTTGTGGTTTAATATTTGAAAACACAGGCTAGAAAAGAATCAAATGTAATAAAAGATTCTAAATATATATGTTATGTATTCATATATGCACAAGAATTTATTGGAAGTCGGTGTATTACAAGGTTAATATTTGGAATTATGGTTAATTTAATGTTATCTTCTTAAGGGGTTATATTTATTTTTCAAACATTCTACAGTAAACATAATTATGTTAGCAACCAGATAAGATTACATATTTTGTTTTTTTTACTGTGGAAGTGTTTGACAATGCAAAACTAAAATAGGCTTGTTCTGTTTTTCATATTAGCTCTGTCGGATGCCCTTTATTTACACTGCTAATATTTTATTCTACAAATAGGCTTGTTCTTTGACATATATGAAGGTCAAATCACAGCAGTTCTGGGTCACAGTGGGGCTGGCAAGTCTTCATTACTGAATGTCCTTAATGGGACGTCTGTTCCAACAGAAGGTGAGCAAAAAGATTCAGCTGAAAGGCAAGATGTCTGGTAATTGAATCAGATCATAGGTGGGCCTCTCTCATTTTCAGGCTTAAATTTGACGGTATACGAAAAAATAATACTTGGTTATCTGAAATTATCAAACAAGATGATTTTGAATGTATTTTGTACTTCCCCAATTTTTACAAAATTCAGTAGGTTGATTATATATTTTCAGGGCAAATACACTACTTATATGGGAAAAACTGATGGCTGTAGAAAAACTGGGAGTCACCATTGTGGACATTGATGAATCTATGTCAGTGTTTTCCCGAATAAGATCTTCAGACATTAATAAAACCTGTTATGTTGCCAATGTTATTTTTAACTTCTATTCTTAGGTTCAGTTACCATCTACAATAAAAACCTCTCTGAAATGCAAGACTTGGAGGAAATCAGAAAGATAACTGGCGTTTGTCCTCAATTCAATATTCATTTTGACATGCTCACAGTGAAGGAAAACCTCAGACTGTTTGCTAAAATAAAAGGAATTCAACCACAGGAAGTGGAACAGGAGGTAGACAGGCTTGCTTGGATTAGTTCACCTGTCAACCCCTTGCCAAGTTAAATTGTGACCTCAGAATTCCCCTCAGCATTGTGCCTGTCCTGTTTTGAATAAAATTTAGGCATGGAGGTCCTATTAAAAAAAAAATCTACTGCTATACTGAACAATTAAAATTCTGTAGTATGGATCAGCTTGTACTTCAAGTTATGTATGTTTTCACATTTAGGTACAAAGAATTTTACTGGAATTGGACATTCAAAACATTCAGGACAATCTTGCTAAGTTCTTAAGTGAAGGACAAAAAAGAAAGTTGACATTTGGAATTGCCGTTTTAGGAGACCCGCAGGTAAGTGAGAGTGAGAGCATGCAAGGGGAGGAAAACAGGTTGGCTATCAGCCAGAAGCTCAGCGCTGCTTTACCATTGAAGTAGAGGTGCGCTCGTCGTAACTTGTCAAAAGAGAGCGCGTGCCCTATTTGTGCCCTTTATATTGGGCACAAATAGTTGCAGGGTTATTACTGTCTTTTGTTGTTGCCAAGCTGCCATGTGGAGGTAATTCAGGTGCAAGAGAGGCATGTTTCATAACTTGTCACCCTGTAGGTTTTGATATTAGATGAACCAACCACGGGACTGGACCCCTTTTCAAGGTACCAGGTCTGGAGCTTCCTCCAGGAGCGCAAAGCAAACCGGATGATTCTCTTAAGTACTAACTTCATGGATGAAGCCGACCTCCTCGCAGGTGAGATAGGTTGCCTTTATCTCAGTAGCAAATAAAGAATTTGGGAGCTGTTTCTTCCCAGAGCTATTGGTCAATTTATATAACAGAATCTTTAGCACAGATTTTTTTTTTTTTTTAATCTGTGTGTGTGTGAGTGTGTGTGTGTGAGGAGCTGGAGTATAGGCTAGAGCGTAGTGGGGCGGTGACAGGATTCACCAGAGACAAAGTGTGAGCAGAACCAGTGGATCTACTGAAATCCACTGCTGAGGAGAGCAGTGCGAGACAGGAGAAGTCTGCTGTGCTGTGTGGGTCACTCCGTAGCCAGGGATTGAATTCAGGCCTTAGCAGTGATAGTGCTAAGACTTAACACCTTGGCTACCAGGGAGATCCTGTAGTACACATTTGGTCAAAAAATATCCACTTGTTTGTTCTTTAGCATCCAGAGTAGAAAATATGCCTAGAGAATTTGTTTGTTTTCCAAAAAGCATAAAGGAAGGCATTGAACAAGATAAGAAGTCATCATCTCATTTTAATTGCATGTATGTTCCTGCTTATGTCAAACACTGAAATAAATGCTCATTCGTGCTAGTCGTGCACAGAACACTTCTGAGCTCTGCCTCCTTAGTTATACTTTGTAGAGTGGGAAGAAATGGCTTCTAATACCCTTTACTCTTGCTTCTTTTTCACTTAGACAGAAAAGTAATCATGTCCAGCGGGAGGCTGAAGTGTGCAGGCTCCTCTGTCTTTCTGAAGAGAAGATGGGGTCTTGGCTATCACTTAAGGTACACATTTTGGAGACAGACTGGAGCTACACTATGTACATATATCTCAGTACATGTTTTTCAATACTGCTTGTAAGAAGTTGCATTTGTGAGAGAAAATCAGCCTGTTTCACTAATGGAGAGTGTTTACTGAATGCTTTTCCTACATTCCTGCCTCTTCTTACCCTTTCTAATCACTTTCTAAAGTGATTTGCTGGGGAGCGGGGCAGGGTAGGTGTGTGGGGAAGAGACAGATGCCCCCAGGGCTATTTCATGGACCACCTTGGCTAGGTAGCTGTTCTATGCAGCCACTTACGTCTACCTTTTCCCCACCTTCCAATTTCCTCCACTGATCTGGAAAATCCTGTAATATGTCTTCATTTTTGCCACATCATCAGATAATTTCTGAAGTGTCAAAAGTGGGAGTGAATTTGGCAGTAGAGAGTGAAGCAACTTCTATCTAACAAGAAAGGCTAAAACATTCTGAGACAACCCACAAACAAAACACACTTATAAGCCAAATTTCCCTCTCAATTGCTAATTCCTGATGCCTTCTCAGTCTGTTCTAATAATTATTTCCCTGGAAAGTCTTTTCTGCTTCCTGGTTTCACAGATAGATAGATAGATAGGCCTATGTATATCTACATTATATCTTCATACTTGATACATAGTTTCAATTATATTCTGTATTCTTTTGTATATTTGTAGTTGTTCTGAGTTTACACACCTCTGTATCAATCATATTTTTTTTGAAAACAGTGACATTATGATTATTGTTATTGCTCTAGTCATTATGTTTGTCTCATAAAGTCCAATAAAGTAGTCTTCAAAGGAGAAACATTCAATAAGATCTCTTCTCTTATGGTAGTGATAGACAAATCCAAATGAATTGTCTTTTCTCTTAAATATTAGTTTGTACAGAAATGAAATATGTGATCCAGAAAAAGTAACATCCTTCATTAATCATCACATCCCTGATGCTAAATTAAAAACAGAAAGCAAAGAAAGGCTCGTGTATACTTTGCCTTTGGAAAAGACAAATAAGTTTCCAGGTAACTTAAATATGATTTCTATGGATGAAATTTGGGGCTGGGTGTTCATATTATTACTATCATCTTCATTGTTGAATGGATTTGGATTTTATTTTAGGTGAGTGCCTCAAGAAGCAGAACTTGAACTGAGGATTTTAGAGCAATTCATTTGATTGACAATTGATGCCTGGAAACACCAGTAGAAAATAGGAGCGTAAAGGGGAGGGAGGGAACCAGGGAAGTCCGAGCTACTGAGCGAGTGATTGCAATCATCAGTGGGTGTGTAACACCACTGGGAGAAAAAATAAGCAAACGCCAATAACTGGGTTCAGAGTCACCTCCCTGCAGGGTGACAGTTCGTTTGGGTGCTAGTCATCCTTCCTTACCCATCACTGTTCATGAGCTGCTTCCATGAGCTTTGATCTGGGTACCTTTCTGACTTGTGTTCAACACAAGAGCTTAGCACACTTCAAAGTAAAGGAAAAACTGCCCTCAGGCAGATTTGCTGCGTGTGGAAGTACAGGAGGTGGGGGTGAGCATTAATGCCTATGCCACAGGTTCCCTTTAGAATTTGGTTTAATTGTGTGCATTCATTTCACAGAGAAAAATAGAGTTTATTCTACAAAGTGTTCACCATGGTTTTCTCAGCCTGCTGGGTAGCTATACCAACTAGGCTTTTATGATAAGTAGTCCTAAGGCTAACTCTGTGCAATGCTTACTGTGAGTCAGGCGCTGTTCTTAAGGTTTTGTACGTATCAACTCATTTAGTTTTTTCAAATAGTCTATGAAGTGGGTGCCATAATTTTCTCTGACTTTGCAAGAAAGTGTATCTTGGTCTTTTCTGATGAAAACAGCTGCCTTTGAGTTTAAACATTAAGGTTAAAGAGGTAGTTCTCATGCTCACCTGTGATTACACAGGTGTCTCTTTTTCTCCTCTATTGCAGGCATGGTTCAAAGTGCTAGAGGTACAAAATTAAATAAGAGATATGAGCCCATACTCTCATGAAGCCTACATTCCACTGGACAAGTGGACACACACAATAAAGCAAACTGTGTTACAGTTGTACAATAAGATACCAAAGAAGGCTGTATGGGTTAGAGAGATGTCTGGTGCAGGGCTATGGCTTCTATAGTGTGGTCACAGGCAACCACAGAAATTCTTGAATTGGCCAGGAGCATTCCTAGAAAAGGGTACGGTGAGGGAGGGAAGTGGCAGGTGGGGTGGTAGGACTGTAGGAACAGCAACTCCCTCATGTGGGGCTTTGGAAGCTGTGGTGTGGTCTCTGGGTTCTTGTAAATGCCTTAAGGAGCCACTGAACGTCATTAAATGGGGTAGTAAATGCCTTAAGGAGCCACTGAACGTCATTAAATGGGGTAATCTATGCACTGTGACTTATGTTTTCATACTCTGGATATAGAGCAACAAGAGATTTTCCCTGCATGTGGGAGACTAGCCACGTGGCCCTTTCGGAGGTTAGGTAATAGGTCATGGTGGGGATACCATGGTGCCAGGTGAGAGCTAAGCAGATCTGAAACCTATGTGGAGAGAAAGCCAAAGAATCTTGCTTATGGCCTGTGGGTGGAACATGAGGAAAGGGAAAAATCAAGAGGGACATCTAAAATCCTGCCTTGGTCATAGGAGAAAAGGTGGTGTTATGATTGTGGAACAATAGGAGGCAGCTGGGTAGGATGACAAGGGAGAAGTTCATATTCTAATTGCAAATGCTTGTTTTGACATGCTTTTGGATGTCCAAGGGCAGATGTTGAATGGTTTTAGATGATTGGAAATCAGAGAACAGCATGAGAATTGAATTTGGGAATCATTGGTCTATAGGTGAATTTAATGCAAAAGAATTGGTTAAGGGGTATGGAAAGAGGAGGTGATGTAAAAGAGGAAGGGTCTGAGGGTGTTAGGCATTGAAAACTCATATGAAGTAAAGGGAAACAAGAAAATATGTTCATATTATCTCAATGGAGAACATGTTGCAATTTCTGTGCATGGCTAGGGATAGAATTTGTATTGTGAGATTTAAACTGAGTAGGACAGGACAAATGAAAGGCTGCAAGCACACAGGTCTTTGGGCCATACATTCATGCAGGTGGAGGAATGGAAGAAGGAGGCTTTTGTTTTGGCTGCTGGTGTCTCTGTTTAAGCAGTGACCTGACAGGGGTTTTGCAGCAATTTAGGATGACCCAGAAATTGATGAGGTAAAAGAAAGATTACTCTAGGAAACACTAAATAGATACTGCAAGGGACTGGAAATCATAACACAAGTCCAAAAAGTCACCATTGGTGGAATCACCTACAGAAGCACACGGTGATTTGCAGTGTGTGGTGAGCTGATGCTCTTTGTGATTGCTCCTATGTGAACTGCGAAGATGAAGAGAAGATGGTTTGAGGGTGGAGGGAGGAGGTAGATACAATAATTTCAGAGACTTTACTTTTGCTTACTGTGCTGTCCCAAGGACACATCCTCTGTGTGTGTGTGTGTGTGTGTGTGTGTGTGTGTGTGTGTGTGTGTGTGTGTATACAAAAACCAGAGTACAGCTAGTGGAGCAGGAAGCGAGAGGATTCACCAGAAACAGAGTGGGGAGCAGAACAGGCAGATTGATGAAGGACACTGCTGAGGGAGCAAACAGGAGAGGTCTGTTGCACTGTGTCAAACTCGGACTGTAGCAGTGATAGCTGAGACTTAAGCCCTAGGCCACCAACGAGGCTCCTCTGCATCATCTTTTAAATAAGTATTAATTTGCTAGATTGAGTCACTGATGTATATGTCAAATGTCTCTGCTGTCCCAGACCTTTTCTGTGACCTGGATAAATGTTCAAGCCAGGGAGTGATGAGTTACGATGTTTCCATGTCAACTCTGAATGAAGTCTTCATGAAACTGGAAGGAACATCTGCTATCAGTCAAGGTCAGGCCATTTGTAGAATTCAAAGACAATTTCCAAATGACCGTGAATCAATTTGCTTTAGATTTATGGTTTATTCATGATGTCTTTTAGATGGTTCACCCAAAAAGAATGTGACAATTCCCCAAGTTGACTCTGCTGTCCAGAAAGGGCTGCCATTGTTTCTTTAAATCGTTACCAGGACTAAATACAGATTCCAACTTGAGAAATACCAGATTGCTCTCTGGAGGCTGTTTGCCTTCAGTTTTAGCATTTTCTCCTAACCCCATATGGTCTGTCTCTTCACTACTTTGAGAATGGATGTGAAAGGCTCTCAATCCCAGTCATAAAATCTGAGCAGAGACTTCTTAGCTTGTTCATATAAAAATTCCACTAAGGTGTTAATGGGAGAAATTTTGGGATCATCTCTTGTGTATTTTAATGCATGATGCAGAGAAGAGTTGTCATTATGGGGCCCTTATGGCTAAGACCTTGATCAATGTGTGGATGTATTGCATTACCTTCCTACAGTGAGTAGCCTTTGCAACAAGTGTTGTTTGGCAGTTTGACATGAGACACTAACAACAGCTAAGTGATTTTCTCCAGATCGTTACTTTAAGTCCTCCATGTGGGAGTAGGGATGGCTCTGGTGCTTTCAGAGGTGGTAATCCTTCACCTACACTTCTGAATTACTGACAGCTCACTAACAGACATTTAGGCATCATGATTAGCTGTTTTGTGGAGATGATAGCTTGGTCTCTCTGAGAATCTTGTTACATGAGGAACCTGCTCTACCTCTTGAAAAACCAGCCATAGTGAATTCTTCTTTTGGTTATGAGTTCAGTCTGTCTGAGCTCTGTGTTTACTGAATGCAGATTTGTTTCTTCTGTTGTTTGGTTTATAAACATGAATATCCCCAAAGCAATTTTCAGTATCACTAAAAAGAGAAAACTGAAAAAGGGTGTTGGTAATGTGTGTGTGCCTACAGATTCTGAACAAGCAGAAATGATAAGAGACACAGAAAACCTGCATGAAATGCAGTCAGTTAGTTCTGCTCCCCCTGAAATGCAGAAGGCTGTCAGTGGCATGAGTTTGTGGAGAAAGCAGGTCTGTGCAATCGCTTGGCTCCGTTTCTTGAAGTTAAAACGTGGAACAAAAGAGCTTTTGACTCTGTGAGTATCCGAGCACTGTGACTCTCTTAGATAATGAATTTCAGAAAAAGGTCAAACTGGAAGAGAATTTTAAACAAGAATATAGTACCCAACATTCCTGCCTGAGGATGGGAAAATGAGCATTTGATTTTGCTGACAGCGGGGATACCTGTATTTATACACCCCATCAATACAGACTTTATGCAAAAGTCTATCTGGTTTGGCTGGTGCTTGGGGAGGAAGGGGTTTTGGTACTCTGTAGCATGCTAAATTCTGGCTTTTAGGAGGCCAGCACCTGTCATGGTAGTTGGCACTGAGCAGGATGGGCAACCAGAAAATACTTAGGCAGTGTTTGACTAAAGAAATGCTGCAGCTGTTGACTCACACGGTCTCTGTTCTTTCCTGGAAGGTTGTTGGTCTTTGGAATTGCAATGTTCCCTTTCATTATGGAAACTGTACTTGAAGCTACCCTGATTGATCAGAAGAGTAGCTGGGAATTTAAACCCGAGCTGTATTTTCTCTCTCCTGGACAACTTCCCCAAGACTCTCGCAGCAGCCTGTTGATCATTAATAACACAGGTGAAGAGCAAGACAGAATGCAATGCATTATTCCGACATGACATAGCAGCTATAGGGGGAACAGAGCAGATCGCAAAGAAGTAAATGTGCACTTTGAGTTCCTTTAGGGCCTTCCCCCAGAAACAGAAAATAACTGTAGGGAATTGCCTCCGGGAAAAAGCTGTAGCCGTGGGTGGTGTCTGTGGGACGGGGAGGAGCTGTGGTCACCTGCTCCAGGTGTGGATAGCCAGCCCACAGACTGACCAGCATATGACTTAATTAGTGGAGGGTGGAGGGGTGACTTTTGTTTCCGAGGCCAGTATCATCCTATGTCTCCTAGGACCATATGTAAACAGTGACATTCAGTGTCTGTGTGGTTTCTTTAAAAAGTAGACACCTCTGCTGTTGCATTTATATGGACTTCTGTTACTGATTTCTTACTAGAATCAAATATTGAAGATTTCATACAGTCACTGAAGCATCAAAACTTACTTTTGGAAGTAGATGACTTTGAAAACAGAAACGGTACTGAGGACTTGTCATACAACGGAGCCATCATTGTGGCGGGGAAACCCAAGGTACGCTGGCCTGGTTTTGCTTTCTTTGAAAATATGTTAATGAAATGCTACATTTTAACTTTTAAAAATGGCAGCGTTGAACCCAGTTAATATACAGCAATTTGACTCAAAAACGTTTTGAGTCATTCGTGCATAATTAAGCTATGATGTTTAATTAAATTTTCTAAAAATTTTTAGAAAATTTTTTATCCCGATTTTTGAATGAGATGATGTGGAATTTGTTTGAAAGTAGTTATTCAGAAGCTTACCATTCCCAATCAACATAATCATGAAGTAAGGAATCCTATCCCATCCCCCACCAAATGACTTTATATGCTGAAGAAACATAAAACAATAGAGCAACCCCATGAAAACCGAGAGAAAAATGTTCTCCATATACAATTTCAGCATATTTCAATGTGGCCAAAAAGGAACAAAAAAGCTTCCTGCAGGAACAAGATCACTGAAGTAAAACTCTTGAAAAACAGGGAGCCGAATTAAATAAAACTACCTTCCCGTTTCTTGTGATAAGGAAAATACAAACAAAATCAAAAGCCTCTGAATATATACCCCTGGATTCAGCTCAACCTGAATGAAGTACATCAGAACAAAACAAACCTTTTTGCCAGCTGTACAAACCTGCTTTAGTTGCTGCTAAGCCAATACATTACGTGAACTACCGAAAATTTTTAAACAATATTGAACCTCCTGATAAATACATGAACATTTCCATACTCATGAAGAACATAAACTCTCAAATAGTGTGGAAATTGTTCACAGGCAGGGTGACCACGATATCTAGAACCCCAGGTTTGTCTTTACCCCCCAAATTAGTGTTCTTTTTTTTTGGCCCCCAAAACTAGTAGTCTCCTTGTCAGACACTGGTAAACTCCTTTAGCTGAAATGCCCCCACTAGTGAAAGGGGTTGATGTGATCTAAAGTTATTCAAGCTGGGTCCTTCCTGGTTGTGCAAGGGGTAAAGCACAGCACTACAAAGCTGTCTGCAGCCACTGCAGCACAAGTTCAACTCCCAGCCAAGGAGCTGACCCACATGGTCCAGCAGACCTCTCCTGACCCACTCACGGCTCCCCTCAGCAATGTGTTTCAGTCAGTCTGTCTGTTCTGCTCCCCACTCTGTCTCTGGTGAATCCTCTCACCCTCCACACTTCTGGCCTGTACCCCAGCTCTTTCATGCATAAATAAATACTTAAAAAAAAATAAAGTTATTCAGGCTAACCCAAGCCCATATTGCCAACTCCATGCCTTCCACTGCCCAAGGGCACAGGACTGGCCCAGAGAGGTCTGTTCACCTGGAGATTGCCACACAGCCAGGAAATGGCATTCCTGGAAAAGCTGTATTCTTTAAAGATTTAGAATCACCGTTACTCACTCTGCTTGTCTGTGCTTTGTTCACAGGACTATAGGTTTTCAATTGTATGCAACACCAGGAGGCTGCACTGCTTCCCAGTCTTGATGGACATCATCAGCAACGGGCTTCTTGGCCTGTTCAACCATACACAGTCTCTTCGGACCCAGAGAAGCTCATTCTACACTGTGAGTGTGGGAGGGACTTGCGCTGAACAATTAGAAGTTTGACAAACAACATGAATTCTTCCTTCTTAGTGTTTGAGTATTTCCTTTGACTCATTCTAAAACTATCATTTTGTCCTCGCATGTTAAGTGGATTTTATCTAGCGAAGGCTATTTTTTTTGAAGTTACTATCAGAGAATTCTCATGGCAGAATACGATTTCAATTATGTCATAGACTCCCAGGGAGTTCTCGCAAAAGTTTGTCATACTTGATTACAGAAGTGTATTGGAGAGAGAGGTGGGGAGTGGGGAGAGATGCAGAGAACATGCAAGAACATGCTGTAGAATCGTACAAACCTAATATAACTTGTTAGTAGACCCACTATTGACCAAGTGGGGATGAATTGGCTGATATGAAGCAGACTCTTCCAGTCCTGGGCTGTGTGCTCTGTGATGATGTCCCTTGTCTATCCATAGTTGCTCTGTGCTGCAGAGGTACCTGACACACCTAGCTGTCTTCCCAGGCTTCTCTGTCAGTGGACTACAGTCTGGCTTTAGGCTGCTGGAAGCAGAGGGAGAGCCTGGACAGATTAGCCTCGCATTCTGGGTCCCACTTACACCCCCTCCTTCCTCCAGCCCAGAAGAGACATTGACTTCTTGCTTCCCTGGCTTTCAGCCAATCATGGCACAATTAGTTTCTCTCTATTTTGTTTTAAAGATTTATTTATTTATGCATACAGAACTGGGGTATGGCCAGAAGTGCAGGGGCGGTGAGGGGATTCACCAGAGACCGAGTAGGAAGCAGAACAGGCCGACTGACAAAGTACACTGCTGAGGGGAGTGTGGGCGGGTCAGGAGAGGTCTGCCGCGCCATGTGGGTCACCTCCAGGTTGGGAATAGAACTCATGCTGAAGTGGCTTTAGTTTCTTTAGTGCCATGCTTTAACCCACTGCACTACCAGGGAGGGTCCAGTTTCTCTCTATTTTAAATACTGAAGATGAGCATGAATTTTTGGCTAGATACCCAAGAGAGTTCTCTCAAGGCTCACTCTAACTGTTTCAAACCAGGAGGTCAGAAGAACAATAAAAAGGATTAGAAAAGGGAGCTTCCCAAAGGGAAGCCCATTTTGTGACAAAGAGCTCTGTTCAGTTTGGGCCTTTCTGCATTGCTGGTGCTGGGGGTACAGGGAGAACAGTGGGTTTTAGTAGTTGGAGGAGGACTATAAGAGAACCAAATAAGACATGGGTGGGGGGAGGGGACACTGTATTATTATTACAATACAAAATACAGCATAACAAAACAAAACAGATGATTACAAACCAGAGATATCCTACAGGGGAGAGGGAGGGGATGAATGTGGGTGACTGTGGTGATGATGCACAGGTGTAATGGGTGGGGGGGGAAGTAAACATTGTTTTAAAATGAAAAAACTAAGAAAAATTTTTAAGAAGTCACTAAAGTAACTTTTATATTTGCAGTATTATGAATTAAGCTGGAGTGGACTGCCAGAGGGATCCATTTTCATATTTTCCATTGTCTGCTGTATTTCTCCTTACATTGCCATGAGCAGTGTCAGCGATTATAAAGTAAGGCAAGGGAGGAGGGAAAAAGGAACTTTAGGCACCTCTGCAATTGTATCTTGAGTGGTATATGTTCAAAATCTTCTTCTATGAGAAAAACATAATATATGTCAATTTTAGATAATGTAATCAAATGTTCTTTCTATCAAGTCAGAAAATTCACTTCTAAAATGTAAAATATTTACTTCAGATTTACAGGAAAAGTGTAATCATCATTCTGCAAAGTCAATATAAACCCCCAAAAGGAAATACAATAAAACTTTCAACTCCGTTATTTCCTAACCACAGAGTGGAAATCAGAGACCAAATTTAAAACTTGGACCACCTTTCTAATGTGGAGAAAAGTCTTTTTCGTTATATTCATACTGGCTATGCCCTTATCCAAACAAACTAGATCAATCAGATCTAGATAAACCATCCTGCACCGTTCTGAGCCTGTTACTCTCCCAGAGCATATTTGTCTAGTGGAGAATCTACTGTCCTTCAGGTCAGAAAATGACATGAAGAGAATGAATGTCTTGATCATTACAAAGTTCACTTTCCTATCACTCATAAGCTCAAGTGGTTATAAATCAAACCTATCAGTAAAACAACATTCATTCAATTTGCTGAAGGACAGTGACCCTGATGGAATTGGCCATTTAGACTTCAGGCTCCTAGACAATATACAAATAATGACAATTATTTAAAAAATAAAATTATTTGAAGGTTAAAGAATATTACAAGGTTATAATTAGATTTTATAAACCTTTCTGTGTGTTTGTTTTGGGTTTGGTTTTCAGTGTTATCTGTTTATTCTGTCATCTTTCCTCAGAGGAGAATTAAATCCCAGCTATGGACTTCGGGCCTCTATCCTTCTGCTTACTGGTGTGGGCAGGCGCTGGTGGATGTCCATCTCTTCACTTTTATTCTCCTTTTAATGAATTTATTTCTATATATGTTAAACATACTGAATATTCATATAACAAGTCAAATAGTGTTTGCCTTGGTAAGTAACGCATTATGCACACAATATTTTAGAATGTAATTCATAAATTTTAACAGTATTATTGTCAATGATCAAATATTTTCATTTTTACTGTATTATAAGAACTTTAAACCATGCAAAGTACATGTGAAATAAGATATTTAAATATATTTGTAAGTAATTTTTCCCCTCAGTTGACATTTCATATTTTGATGTTGCTCTTTCCTGTATGATTTTCAGGTTGTGGTTATATTTGGTTATGCAGCTTCTCTGGTCTTCATGACATATGTGATATCATTTATTTTTCGCAAGAGGAGAAAAAGTAGTGGCTTTTGGTCATTTTGCTTCTATTTTGTAAGTACATGTGCAAACATAAATAATGTCTTTTTTTTTAAAGCTTTCAAGGTGACGTTAAATACAGTCACCTTTCTCTTAAGCAAGGGGAAAATATATGCCTTAAATTGTACCATAGAAAGGAGAGGGAAGTTGAGCATGCTACCAAGTCAATGATGTTGCTGAACAATTCATATACAGTGATTTTGCCAGGACCTATGACAAACCTAACAGAAGCCTAAAGTCCAAAATGCTGCTATTATGCTCATAGGTACTCTAAAATACAGGGCTCCCTGGCAACATTATAACAAAGGCTTGACTTTACAACATTTGACAGTACAATCCATTTCTGTAGTCTTTATAAAGGTCTCTTTTAACCTCAGATGCTATTAATTTCAGAGATCAAAGAAGGTTTTATATGTGTGCTAGAGAACTTACTAGTAAATAAGAATGAAAACAAGATACTGGAACTCTCAGATCATCAAACACTTTCTTGGAAATGTGTATCAAGACTCTTGGGTCCCATCCCAGAGCCTCTAGTTCAAGCACATCAGGTGTCTTAGCTTAAATTCCCAGCTGGTGCTTGAATATCTGTGTTGTAATCCCAGCTCCCAGTTCCTGGTGTGGGAGTCCTGATGCCATTAGGAGAACCCAACCAAAGGCCTCTGCTGAGAAAATAGACCCGATTTCTCTAAGAAAAAAGCCTGGTACTGCTCTGGTGGGCAGGCAACTGCTCACTTGTCCTTCTCAGTGAACAGTTGTCTGATTTGGCTTCTCCAGATTGCATTCTCAGTGTCTAATACTACCCTCTTAGCATCATCAGTGTGAAGCAGTCCAAGTACAGATGTCAGAAATAATACAGCCACAATTCCTTACTTGGAAGACTGCCTTTGGACAGCAGTAAAGATTTGGTGGGCTAAGAGCCTTTCCATTCATAGTCTGCTTAAGAACATTTTTGTCCTGTCAGCAGGCTTTCTTCCTTTTCCCAATGAAAACCCAGATGTAAGGTAAGCTGTACAGATGTCAAGAGAAGAGAACCTAACCTCAGCTGATTTCTTTTCAATCAGCATTCTTAAGTATACCCAGCAAAGAAGAAAAAAAAAAAAAAAACCATGTCCACAATTTGTGCTTCCTATTATCTCAGCTTCAGCTAAAGTTTGCTTTGGAGGTGATGTTCAAACTGTCAGGGTTATTGACCAGTATAGCGGTGAATAGTCTGTTACTGCCAAACTGAGGGAAGCTTTAAGATATCCTCACCAGTGTCCTCAGAGACATTCTTGAAGCCTATTGTTCTTCAGTTTACAAATAATCAGCAGCCTGAAGTCATCTCCATGATTAGAATAGGGAAGAAATGGAGATACAAGGACAATGTTCAATGAAGCTTCAGCCTACATGACAAGCAGGGCAGACTTTAAAGATTTTCCATATAAATTCTCATGTATGCAATTAAAAATATCCTTTACGTTAGCTATCACAGTATAACTCTATTTTTCATACTGTTTTCATCCTGTCATCATAGATTGTACTGTTAGGGAGTTTATTTGGTCAATTTAGCTTTCACCTAATCTCCAGATGCTTTATCTAGAATGTTCTGTTGAGGACCAAATAATCATGTATATTCTCATTAACAAAAGATTCTCCCTTCCCTTCTCTCTCTGCAAGGGGAATTGCGATGTCCATGGGTGTGTCTGTATATGAGAAAATTTGGCTTACATGGCAGTGGGGGTCCCTGCATGGCTGAGTATATCTGACATGCATCCTTGCTTTGTAGATCTTGACCATCACCTTTGACATCATTATAATGACTAATTTGAACTCAGTTATCATGATCACTGGCATGGTGTTAGCCCCCCCAACTACCTTGGCTGGATTTATCACTATTTTGGGAGAGGTAAAAACTGTTACCAATTGTGTTATTCATTTTGGAAATGAAGACTTTTAAAATGCCTTGCTTAAATCTATAAAAACAATAAACAGGTTGGTGTTTTGAGGAATTCCTGGGGTGGGTCTGGGAAATGATAGAAATGCATATGAGGTACCCATTTGGGGTAATGGAAATGTCTTAAGTTGATTGTGTTGATATTCTCATAACTATATATTTACAAAAAATTCTTCTACATTTAATGGATTTTTTTTTTTTGCATGAATACTCAACCTCAATAAAGTTGTTAGAAAGTTTGGCCATATGCATTCTGGCAAACTTGAGCAGCCTCAGATGCTATTAGGAATTAATGCTAGATTGAAAAAACTTGCATGGTCAAGTGGCTATTCATTATGCATCGTAAGAACAATACCAGTCACTTACTCAGCAACCGGCATTAGGCACTATTCTGTACTGGGCACTGTGTATTTGTGCTTGGAAATAGTTGGTGGACAAGGTGGCACCACCCTTCTCTCAGAGCTTGATGCTGACAAAGACCAACCTCACCCGTCAATGGAGGGTTAGTGGTTACAAAGATGGGCAGAGCACAGAGTGTAAAAGACAAAGCACAGCTTATAGGCCTGGAAGAGGCAGAAAATTCTTAGAGAAGCAATATTTAAACAGTCTTGAAGAATAAGGTATAATTAATTAGTGAGTTAGTGGAGCAGGAGGTAAGCATGTCTGTAGAGAGAAGCACAAACATCGAAGTGGGAAGATCAGGCTCTGAGGAAGTTACATGTGACTCAAATGGAATAAAGTGTAGGAGGAGCTGGACAGCCCAGAGAGCAAAGCTGGGCCATCCCAGAGGAAGTGGGATTAAAGAAAGTAGCAATAACAATAATAAAAAAAAAAAAGACAAATTACAAATCAGAGACATTCTTCAAGGCAAGAGCTGGAAGAATACAATGGTCTATGGTGATGGTACAAGGGTGAATTGGTGGTGGAAATTCTATGGGATGTACACCGGAGGGGAAAAGCACATATTGTAATAGAAATAAATAGATACATGTAATTAAAAATATAAGAAAACCTGCGGGGATTACAATCGAGATGGAAAAAAAATGTGCAAAATGATGTAAAAATAAACTTTCGTAATAAATATATATATAAGAAAACATACAGAGGGCTTACCAAATTGTATTCTTGAGGATCTAGAGAAGCCTTCTATCTGGAAAGGTAACTTTCCATTGCCTGAGCAATCCTTGGGAATTCTCCATGGGAAATCCATTCCTTTGTTGAAAGTGCTTCTTTCCTTCAGGGTGAAATATATTAACCTAGATCTGTCACACGTTACTGAGGAAGAAGGTGTGGATTTCTGAATGCACTGGGTGATGAGGAAAGACTAACATAATGGGATTAACCGTGGTGAGAACAGTCACTGTGGGGTTAGGAAGGGACCCTGAAAAGGGACCCTTGGGAGAGACATTTAAAACAAATACTGTTGATTCCTAGAATTTTTCTCATTCATGGCACCTCACTCTGCTATGCTTTAGTAGAATTCCACAAACATGGAATTAAAAGATTAAAAGAAAAAAAGAACTGGAAGAGAGGAGCTAACACAGTTGCCTGGGAATTGCTGGTCAGCAGCATGCATAGGAGAACCAAGTTTAATGTGGCAAATATTCAATATGTGAAAGTCCATATTATTTAAATGTATACCATAAGGTTGATGAGTTTTGATTTTGCCATTTTTTTTCTTTGTCTTTACAGGAAATCCACAGGCACCAAACTAAATTTCAGGACCTGAATTATAACCTGAGTAAAGTTGATCTTCTACTATGCCTAATAGTAAGGTCTTTCTACCTCACCACCAACTTCTTTGGCTCAGTTACTATACTAACTATTTGATATTGTCTTAACTGTACCAGATTTAAGACTTAGACAAAACAACTGCATTCAGACATGATTCCAAGCCCTATAGTTCCTTTTTCTATGCATGAATGGACTAAGTTGGAATTCAACGTGAAATTAATGATTCATGCCTATTTGTCCTGTCTGTATCCCCTCCAAATTTGAGAGAGTTTACAAAGAGTACAGATGTAATATAACTGAAATCCTTTGAACTGGAGAGGAAAAGGCAAAGTTGAATAATAAACATGAAAGGAAAAATATTATGTCTCTATATGTAGACTAATAAAAGCTACTGGTTTGAATACTATGTGTTAGTACTTTGCCAGCCATAGGGAACAAATGGAGACAACATCCCTGCCCTCATGGAGCTTGCATTCTGGTGGAAGGTGACAGATGATAAATGAAATAAATAATATATACCATGTCAGATGGGTGGTCAGGAAAACCTGGCTGAGGAATAAAAACCCAAAGGAGGCAAGGAAGCACGCTGTGAGGACAAGAGTGAGCCTGGCTTGCTCCAAGGCCAGCAGGTGGCCAGTGTGGTTGTGGCAGGGCAACCACAGTGAGTGTGATACCAGAGAAGGTCACACTGGATGAAGTTGAGGTGAACAGATGGGTCACCAGAACAAGCAGGGTCATGATAGGACCTTGACTCTATCTTGAATAATTAAAGGTCTCGGCCTCGTTTTAAGCAAAGTGATATGACTGGACTTGTAGTTCTGGTACTGAGCTGAGAACAGATGGTTGGGGAAAGGGGAGAAGAGGGAGATCTAGGTGCTAGTTTGGCCATATTATTATGAGAAATTATATTGACCTCGACCTGGTAGTAGTAGTTCGAGTAGAACTGAGAAGCTGTTCAGTTCTGCATAAGTCTGAGGCTGGGCAGATGAAGTTGCTGACCAAGTGGATGTGGACTATGGGTGGAAAACAGGAGGCTGTTTCCACAAAGCTGGACCATTACTGGGTCACTAATCTCACTCTCAAGCTTTAGGACTGAGTCACACTGAGCATCACACCTCAAGTCAAAAGACTAGCATTTGTAATTCCATTCAAAAGTTTAATATTTGGGGACATATGTAACTAGAGCTGTTATTTTTTGCTTTCAGCCTTACTTTCAGACTTTGCTGTTTGCCTTTGTTCTAAGATGCATGGAAATGAAGTATGGAAAAAAAGTAATACGAAAGGATCCTATTTTCAGGTGGGGATAAAACTTTATTTTATACTTACTACCGTGTCTTCGTATTCCTACATGGTGGCTGCATTGTTACCCTGTTCATGGGAGTTTATACTTCCAGTGAAAACAGCCTGATGATTTCCTTAGTGGCTAATGGATTGCTGTCTTTCACTTAATCAGTTCTTTCACTTAATCAGTTGAAACTTTCAGCCCCTCAGCAATGTAATGAGCACTCAAAGATGCCATTCTCCCATCCAAGATGAGGCTGCATCCTTGAGCAGAGGAGACAGGAGGGAGTTGGGATAGCAGTGTGGTCCACAGTGCCACCACAGAGGGGACTGTGGACAGGGTGACAAGCACAGGAGATGACGCCAGTGCCAGAAGGATGAACAGGGGCAATATCCACAGAGAAGTATGTAGGTGCAGACAACCCACTGTGTCAAGAGGGCACAGGACTTGCTGAGAAATTTGGGATGGTCAGAGATGCTAACTAGAATGGGAGCATCAACACTGAGAAAGGGATTCTGGTCACTGGGACAAGTTCTTATTGGTGGGCCATCCTTGTAGCACAGGTGTTTAGTCTCAGCGCTATGAAGCTATCACCAGCCACTGAGGCCTGAATTTGATCCCCGGCCAGGGAGCTGACCCACATGGCCCAGCAGACCTTGCCTGTCTCACACACTTCTCTCAACAATGTATTTAATGGATCTGCCTGTTCTGCTCCCCAATCTGTCTTTGGTGAATCTTTTCACCTGCCACACCTCTGGCCTACACCCCCATTCTTGCATGCATAAATAAATACATCTTTTTTTTTAAAAAAAAAAAAAAGAGTTCTTGTTGGCAAAAGCAGAGCAATCTACTCATAGCCCATCATCGCCAGCTGATGGAAAAGAAAGGACAACGAGAACGACTGTAACAACACAGGGAAACTGACTCTAGATACATCTTTGACAACCAGAAAGCACACATCATGTCATGCATTTCATTTTCTCCACAGAATTTGCCCCCAAAGGGGAGATGTTCGACGGAATCCAGAAGAACCTGTAGATGAAGATGAAGATGTTCAAGCAGAAAGAGTCAGAGTATCTACCGCCCTGACAACAGCAGACACAGAAGAGGTAGGAAGGCCCATGACCAGGGACCCGCAGGGACGTTATTGCAGGGGGTTTAAGCACTCTGGGGCAGGCTGGCTGTGCCCGTTTTCCTTTGAAACTTGGGCAGTGTTTGCATTTTTGCAATTCCTATGCAGGTTCATCTTTGAACTATCTTGAAAGCTCAAAGAAGAATGCAAACATAAGGGTTGTTTTTTGG